AAAAAAAAAAAAAAAAAAAAAAAAAAAAAAAAAAAAAAAAAGGATATTCCCATCAGCCTGATTGATATAACTGGATGCATTAAACGTACTACTTCACATTGCGTCTATCTTTTGAAACTGAGGGGGACCCTGCAGGTATCCAGGCAGGGAAGCGAACCTTTAAAGAGATGAGAATGAAAACTCGTTTCAAATTTTGACTTAGCTAACCTGGATCAGACTTTGGGGAGTATAATGCCAGGATGTTCATTGTGGGCATATTTAAAACACAGTACGATTAGGGGAAAAGTTTCCAGGCAACAATCATTCCAATTCCAGGTGCACAATAAAGCTTAAGGTGTGATTGCATAGGAACTCCTTTGCAAAGTACGTGTGACCATGTGGGTGGGTTCTATAGCTAAAGGGAATAGAATCGAGTGTGGCCTCTCAACAGTAGCATAGAGGTCAGCAGGCCATAAAGTACATGTGACATCTCCCCTAAGGATGGGCTTAACTAGAGCTAAAAATTATAGTCCAGAGAGAGAATGGTCTGGGATAATCATTCTGGGGAATCTGGATAAGGTCTGCCTCCACAGATAGCAAAAAGGTCACCACGTCATTACCAATATTCACTCCCAGCCTTCTGAGAAGAAAACATTTTATCTCCTCCATTGAGGAGAGGCCACTGTGTGTTTTACATTCCCAGTTCCCTAGTGCTCTATGGGTGCAAGGACCTCTGTGCCCCCAACGTGAAACTGTTTCAGAGCATGTCTGTGTCCTTGAATTTTCCCCTTTCAGCTTTCATACAGCTATCCACTATATTGCAAACAATTGATTCATAGCATCATTTTTCTGACCAGTAATTTACTTCACTGAGTATTTTTTAAAAGTTTAGAGCTAAATAATACTTTGGGGGAGGGCAGGGGGACTGTGGTAGCCTACAGAGAATCCATCATAGTGAGGCCTTATTCCATTTTGACTCAGGGTCAGAGAGTCTGAGCTTGCTTTGCCTCACAAGGCTACATAATAGGTTATTTTGGCCAAAGGCATGGTTACCAGGTGTCTTATACTTCAAGGCCTAATTACAAGATGCTTTGCCATAAGATATAGTTACCAGGTGTTTTGAAAATTAAGGAAGGGTCTACATTTGTTTGTACTTTATACCTTGACCTTGAAAGGGGGAGATCTTTTGCCTCTCCCTTTGCAGGTGTATAAAAGGCCCATTACGAATAAACTCGAGGAGTCTGTGGTATTGGCCTAGAGCCCTCCCGAAGCTACCCTGTGTCTTCTGTCTTTTTCTTCATCTGTGTCTGTATTTTTTCCTATCTACCATTTTTCAATTCCTCACTCCTCTCTTCAAGGACCCTTCAGCAGGTCAGGGTTGGACCCCAACAACAAACCCAAAAAGTCTTCTGCTAATAAACATTTTCATTATGTCTGTTGAAAAGACACACATACAGAATGTGCAAGCTTCTTTTAAACATTGTTGTTTGACTGTTTGACTCTAGTTACTGTTGACTATTGATTTTGACTAAAAAAGAAAAAACTCCAAAGTGATAAAGCTCCTGATCATAGTTCCCTGGGAAACATGATTACAACCTTGATGATAGTTTATCAGCAACTTTACATGAAAATGTGCTTAACGGTGGCCTCCAGCTAGGAAAGAGTAACTCTGCACTCAGCATACTTAACAGCTGCTACCTTTATTGGCATCTCTACATAAACATGTCTGTCTATAAACAGTTAAGAGGAAAAATAGAAATACAAATTATGAGTCTACTGTATGTCCTTTGTTTCCAGGCTCAAATATAAGATTTATCACTTCGTTACAATCATATCTTTTCCAAAATATTTAAATGTCCCCTGTCTTTTTCAGGTATGTTCACCTTTTGCTACAGGTCCCAGGCAAAGCGATGGGACGTTATATGAATTCCGCACCTATTTTCTCAAGCCTTCAAAGACAAATGAGTTCCTGGAAAATTTTAAGAAAAGTGTTCACCTTCGAACAGCTCACTCTGAAATGATTGGATATTGGAGTGTAGAATTTGGAGGCCAAACAAACAAAGTATTCCATATTTGGAAGTATGGTATGAATCACACAGCTTTCGTTTCATACAGACACTCATCGTGAAGCTTGGTTCTTCGGTCTTTATGACTATACGTACACACAGGTTAAAGAAAACATCTGAAAGCAATACAGTAACAAAGCCAGCTAAGATACTAAGTGGTCCCTTTGCATCGACCACTTGCTTAGACTCTGAGGTTAACATTTCTGGGAAATAACTGTCTCATATTAAGCCCTAATTTGATGAACTGACTTTAATTCTCAAAGTTTTAGAATGGTTTGTTGGAAAAAATATCTTTTGTAAAATTAAAATCTGTGCTTACAAAAGTCCAGGTAGTGGAGAGTATAAAATGAAAGTGCCTTATTAATAGATAGAACTGGATATCAGCATTTTAGTTCTTATTATTTTAATAATTTTCACGTTTAGAGCCTTTGAGAGGGCATTCAACCATCAACTTTTAAGAACTCTAAGATTTAATGATTTTGTTATATTTAGCAATCACTTTTGTTTAAGTTCTTCACAATTTCAAAGAATTCACTGTCTTGTTCCATAATGGAGTTGAAGGCAGAGGAACTGAAGAAAGGTCTTCTCACACTGAAGTTGACATAGCACAGAAAGGAGAACACGTTACAAGAATCTGTGAAGTTTCTTACGCCTGTGTCTGGTCTTCACAGTCTGCAGCAGGGCCTGAGGGTGCCCAAAGAATTCTTAATCATTTCCTATTGGGTTTTGTAAACAGAGGCTTTTCTCTGTCCCACCCTGTCCCGCAGCCATGTCCAATTAATCATCAGCGGCTTACAAATATTTGGCCGATAGCTCAGGCTTATTACTAGCTAGCTCTTACAATTAAGTTAATCCATATTTCTTATCTATGCTTTGCCATGTGGTTCGTGGCTTGTTATCTCATTTTTTATACATCTTGCTTCCTCAGCAGCTGGCTGGCTGGCATCTGCCTCAACCCCACACCTCTTCTCCCTGTATCTCTGTTGGGCTTTCCTGCCCATCCGTACTCCCCTGGCTATAGGCCAAAACAACCTTATTATCAACCAATGAGAGAAACACATATTCACAAAGTACAGAAGGACATCCCACAGTGGGGTTTGTCCATCAATATCCAAATTAATTTTCAAAAAATGCTTCACTATGAAAATTGTCCATTCTGTACCTAATACAGCACAGTTTGGGGCTTTTCCATATTATAATAGATCAAGCCTCATTAAAATTAATATCTGCTTCAGATAGGGTACAGTGCAATCATGACCCATTAAGAGAACTAACAAGAGTTAGAGAATCGACACCTGATCAATCTATTTTTGTTTACAGAGTGCATTTTATTTCACTTATTTGGAAGCTTGTTCAGGGTATACATTGACTTGACCACCTACCATCACTCCCAAAGTACTTTCCTCTTAACTGGGACTGTCAGTTCTGAGCTGCAGTTGAAGAGAAGAGCACATAGACTGTGCACCAAGTGCTGAAGTCTCCTCTAAGTGCTCTTCATGGGTTCCTGTAATCCTCACCCCAAACCTGGAGGTTACATTAGTCCTGTACCCCACACACAGAAACACACAGTAACTTATTAACTCCTGTACACTGCTGCTTGGTAGAGCCTGTGAAGCCTGTTCAGTGAGATAACAGGAGTTGTTCCATTTCTTTTACCCTGAAGACTATTGAGAGACTTGATGCCAATGTCACGTCTTTGCAAGTGGGTGTTCCCAAAGCCGTAACACAGTGTTCTTGTGTGCTGTGGATAAAATGTTTGCTCATCTGGGTGAAATCCAAGGAGGAATAGATCATTTTAAACAAAACAATTTAAATTCTTCTCCATTTTTTTTTCTACCATAGATAATTTTGCTCATCGAACTGCAGTTCGCAAAGCCTTGGCTAATGATAAAGAATGGCAAGAACGATTCCTCATTCCAAATTTGGCTTTCATTGATAAACAAGAAGTTGAGATTACCTACCTGGTACCATGGTGCAAAATAGGAACACCTCCCAAGGAAGGTGAGTCTGTCTTAGCCACTGTGAGTTTTCATGACTGAAGTAGTACAAATGTTACGTGATTTAAAAAAAAAAAAAAATGTCATGGGAAAAGAAAAAATGATTTATTTTATATAGGAATGACACTGACTATTGAGATAAAAACTGATCTTAGTTTATCCTTAAAAAATGAGAATTAATGAAGTATTTTTCCAAACTAAGATATAAATATGTATGTATGTGTGTGTATATGTGCATATATATGTATATGCATATGTGTGTTTGTCTATATGTCTATCTGTACATCACTGGCATACCTGGTACCTGTGGAGGCCAAAACAAGGTATCAGATCCTCATGGAACTGGAATTAAAGACAGTTGTGAACTGTCATATGGGTACTGGGAATTGAAGCCAGGTTTTCTGCTAGAGTAACAAGTGCTCTTGACTACTGAGCCATCTCTCAAGCCCTTCCAAACTAAGTTTTATGGGTTAAAACTTAGCTACAATATAGAAAAAGTCCATATAATACTAAAGTAATACAAACTTTTATTCACTTACTCATTTTTAGGGTTGAGACAAGGTCTCACAATATAGCCCAGGTTGACATACAACTCACAATTCTCAACCCTTAGACTCCCAAATGGAGAGGTTATAGATGTTTACTACCATACTTATTTAAATAATATAAATATTTAAATATAAAATACTTTCCACAGACTACAGTAGTTTAGATTAAGTACGTCTTTACTTATGAAATGGACTGTCTGGAGGGAAGGAGTTACCTGACATTGCCGAGGTATACACTGTAGCTAGCTTTTCTGTCTTTTTGCTTCTTTCTCAGTTTGGAAATAATTCCTTTGTCTTCTTGCTGATTTAAAGAACTGTTATAAAATCCAGTTTTAAGCAAAGTCAGATTATAAAAACAACATTTTAATTTTTTCTTTATTTCCCATTGTTCCTGACTCTATAATATATTTTAGAGTACAAGAAATTTGAAGTCTTGTTGAGACTTTTACCTGGGTGAATGAAGTCCTGAGTGAGTATGTTTAACATGGGCAAGAGCCTGTCGAGGATGCACAAGGCCTCAGACCCATGGGACAGTTGGCAAAGCCATTACTCATACAAGCCAGGCTCAAGAGAAATGGCGAAGCTTTTCTCAGGAGTCAGCTATGAGTGTTTATGAATGATTGATCCTTGTGTGTAGACATTAGCTACAGCTTCCTCCTTCTGGGTGTTTAGAGCCTGGGACTGCTCACCTACAGAGACCTCCTAGACTAGCTAACCCTGCCCGCATGATACTCCTAATAAAAAAGCCAAGGTTTCAGATGGTGATGGAAGTGATAATGTTACAGAGTCCCACATGATCCCAGCTTCATTGTATGTGCATCTGTATGTCTGTTTGTCTGTCTTTTCTTCATTTCCTTGCCGTCTCTAGCCTGGGTTCTGGGACCCAAACCGCAAGGCATGTGCCCTTTGCTCTCAGCATTATCCAAACATATTTGCTATCTCTTGAAATGCCAAATCTTGATTTTTTTTTTTACACTTTTTACATTTATTTATTTATGTAGTGTATATTTATGCGGTAGTGCATACATGGAGGTCAGAACAGCTTGAGGGAGCTGGTTCCTTCCTTACATTTTGTGTGTTCCAAGGATTGAACTCTGTCAGGCTTGGCAACAAGCATTTTTTTTTTTTTTTTTTTTTTTTACACACTGAGCCATCTCACTGGGCTTAAATCTTATTTTCCACTGTAGCATGAATCCTAGTTGGTCTTAATAAAAACCCAGAGCCAGATATCGGGATAAATGCTGAAAGATCAGAGAGACAAAAGAATAAGCAACAGACACCTCTCACTTTACCAACTCCTCAGCCTAAAGGAGAGTGAGTTCCTGTTTCTTCAGGCCTTATATTCCTGTCTCCGTCCAACCATATCACTTCCTGTCTCCACCTCCCTAGTGCTGGGACTAAAGGTGTGTGCCACCACTACTTGGCTCTGTTTCTCTTTTATACTGGATCAGTCTTGCATAGCCCAGGGTAGCCTTGTACTCACAGAGATCCATCTGCTTCTGCCTTCTGAGTACTGGGATTAAAGGTGTGTAGCCACCACTGTCTGGCCTCTATGGCTAACTAGTGGCTTAGCACCATACTCTGATCTTCAGGCAAGATTTATTTGTTATATCACAAACAAAATATCACCACATTTCACTATATTTTTTCTAATTCCTTAGTGACCTTGTACATTTTTTTTCTTTTTCTATCAGACCTACCTATCCTCCAGTTTCTCACCTCTGATTTATATTTCTGATTAGAAGTAAAAAGCCTCTCAAGCAATACTTGGATATTTAAGAACAATAAACCCCTGCTGAAGTTATTTTTCTTTAGAAAGTCAGGTAGGACTTCAGGCCATGTTTTCTTGCTCTGCTTGTTAGGAACAGACTCTAAAAGGAGGAAATTACACAAAGAAAAATATCTCCCCTCTCAAAACTGAAAAAAAGAGGAAAAAGTAGGACATCAAAAGATACTTATTTCTTTTCTCATAGACGTAAACAGCTTAAAATCTTATTTCACAATAAAGTATCAATATCTGGTATGTTGATAAAGTTCCCAGATTAAAAATATTTAATGTAATTGTTTATATATAGTTTTGATTTCCCCTCAGTTATTAAGGTTAACTTTAAATGTAGACAAGAATATCTAAACATAAAAACAAAGAAAAATTAAGCAAAGAATTAACAATTGTGTCTGCATAAATCTGCATATGCAGGTGACCCTTCAAACACTTATACATAGGGTCGCCTCCCACTCTAGAGTCAAACAAAGCAAATTCCTTGAATGTCTACTAAATTATGTGTGGTAGACCAGCCCCCATCATTATTTACCCCAGGGACTCTTGAGGAATGAGGAGTAAGAGACTTAGTTAGAAATAGAGGGGAGAGAAACAGAAAACACAGGATAGACTCCAATGGGCCTGGAACCTTATCCACCGGCCCACAACTTTATTCCCAAGGTCTATTTATAACAGTGCCAAGGGGTGGCGCAAAAGACCTCCCTCTTGCTAGTTACAGTCAAATGTAGATGCTTACAAACACCTGATACTCAGGCCCGTGGTCCAATCAACCTCTTATGCAGTCCTGCTGGGTACAGCCACTAGGAACCTAGTAGACTACAACAATAATGTCTGTTAAATTTAATTTTTTTGTCAATTCTAGGAGTCTATGAATTGGCTACTTTTCAGATGAAACCTGGGGGCCCAGCTCTGTGGGGTAACGCATTCAAAAGGGCAGTAAACGCCCACGTTGATCTCGGCTACTCTACACTAGTTGGTGTTTTCCACACTGAATATGGAGCCCTCAACAGAGGTACAGCTGTCTATTTCTGTGAGACTGTGATGAATGTTGCTGATCACCTATGTTTCTTGGATTTTTTTTTAATTTTGAGAGTTTTTTTCTAATTGTAAGGTATGAAAACACTTTTTTTTTTATTGCAATTGCTGATACCTTGTGGAGCTTTTCCACAGGCTAACTGTTGCCTAGAAACTGGAAAAATCTTTAAGAAAATATTAATTCTTTTCATCTTTTTTTCTAAACATCTTGTTATGATTTTTTTTTCAAAATAACATCATTGGAGTAAAGAGGTTGTTTCTGAATGAAAATGTAAATATATATATTTTATAAAGGCAAAATTTATGGACAAAGCCAAAAAAAATTACCTATTTCTCATTATTGAAGTAACAGTGTTCCATAAATGACAAAGGGATGCCAGGACTAAAGACTTATTAGATATAAAAGGTCTAGAAACAATGTCTGTGCCTGGCTGGTGATAGCTCCCTAGTGCTCTCGAATGGGTAGATGACTGCAGTGGATGATGACCCAAGTTTATTCCTAGCACCCATATCAAAGCAGGCTCCATTGGCACATACCAACTACTATGTCGGTCCTGGGAAGATGGAAATAGGAGCCTGGCCAGCTAGTCTAGTTAAGTTCCAAGTTCAGAGAGACCTGTATCAAAACAATAAGGAAGAGAGAAATTGAAGAGGATGCCTGACATTGACCACTGACACCCACATGCATGCACATCCACACCCACGCAGACATACACATACACAATCAAGGTCAAGGATATAGATCAGATGTAGAGTACTTACCCAGCATCCATTCTAAAGGCCCTTATGCCTAGTACCACACACATTTTTAAAAATATCTGCTATACGGTTATATTTAAAATATAGTGCATATAAACATATGTACATGTACATATACGCAGGTAACAACAATTAATGAAAATAGAGGGCACAAATTTGAGAGAGCAAAGGAGGTTGTATGGGAGGTTTTGGAGGAAGGAAAGGGAAGAAAGAAATTATGTAATTATGTTACAATCTCAAAATAAAAGAAAAAAAGTACCTGTTAACGAGAATTACAGCTAACTTCTGATTTACTTCTGCAGTCCATGTTCTCTGGTGGAACGAGAGTGCAGATAGTCGCGCAGCTGGGAGACATTGGTCTCATGAGGATCCCAGAGTCGTGGCTGCTGGTGAGCTGATCATTAGGCGTGAGTTATTTTTAGAACAAATTTGATTCACCCGATAGCTTCATTGTCTTATAAAATGTCTTTGCAGTTCGGGAAAGTGTCAACTACCTCGAGTCTCAGCAGAATATGTTCCTGATCCCAGCATCCTTTTCACCACTGAAGTAGTTTCCAACCTGACGTCAGACATCCCAGTCACTGATGTGAGAAGTGTCTGCAGTGGGTGCTCATTTCTCCCGAGAGAATCATTGTCTTTGTTGTCTGAAGGAGGTGGTGAGTTAACCTCACTGTGCCCTCTGCATCTTAAGGCTGTGTCCATGACTACCAGTAAAAACTTCGGTTCATTTTCGCCATGCCATTTCATGTCTACCACACATGAGAAGGAGTTCTGTTACTCTATGACCCTGGTACTTTATTGTTCCACAATATCTTGTCTTCTGTAATTTTATGACTCATTGCTATCTTATATTCAAATAATGATTTTGAAATTTTTTGCCTGGAAATATTTTTAAATTAGTTAAATACAGTATCTATATTTTTGTCACATTCATTTTTCCTGAATTTTAAAAATATTTTTTACCCAGTAATGTTTGCTTTGTGATATCAAATGGGACTCATAGAAACATTAAATCTAGTATTTCTTTATTCTTTAGAAAAGTACAGTATCATGTCTTCTGTATTCATTATGATTTCACATTAATTATTAAGTCAAAGTTGGAAAATAATATATCCTTGAGACTTATTGCTGGATAGTATGGTTTTAGCATGTTCGTTTTTAATTAACTTTTACTGCTTTGAACTTTACCTTGAATCACTCACAAAGATTGTAAGACACTTATTTATTTCAATGAAATCTTTATAATTATGGAAATCTTTGACCTAATAAAAGCCTTCTCATCCATTCTGATTTTCTCAGCTGTGTCTTGTCTACTTATATCCTCTTCTCTGGAGCTCTTCCAATGCTGCATAGGGTAATGGCACCACACCAATGTGGCAGCTTCATCGTGAGCGTTCAGTTACTAGACTATGCTGGTGACTCTGAAGGCGGACATCTGTAGACTGCCGTCTTGACTGTCTGGGCTGTGAGGTGGGGCTCAGGAAGGCAAGCTGTGCAGCTTTCACAGACGTGCATCTCAGTACTCTTCAGGCAGCGTTCACTGTAACGTGGTTCACGTTTATATAACATAACTGGAACTGGGTGTGTGCTTCACAGAAACATAGAGTGACCATTAAAAGATGAAATTAAACCAGTCTCAGATAGTTTCAGGTCTCAAAAAGACAGATACCATGTTTTTTTCTCATATGTGGTTCCTGGATCTTTTATATACATACAGTCATGTATGTCTGTATGAAATGAAAGTAAAAGCAAAACTGCCCATGGTTACAGAGGGACAGTGAGAGCAGAGAGGGGTGGAAGGGGGAGGGAGGCTCGGAGGAGGGGAGCACAACTCAATGTATAATGTGTGCTTGCGTGAACATTTCCTTAGGTAGCACAAGTACCATGTGCAGTGAATATATACAATGAATTTTTTAATTGTTAAAAATCCAAGTGATTATAAACAAAAATTTTAAATTTAATTAAAAATTTAAAGTTCATTATAAAATGTTAAAAGTAATTTAGCATTTTGCTTCGTTAGCTCTTTGAGCATCAGTCTTCTTGGACCGTTTCTGTAGTAGAGGAAAAGGTAAGAAAAGAGCCCAGGGCCTATGTTGCGACACCTTGAGCTGCCTTGATGCAGGAGGGAGGGGCTTGGGTCTGCCTCAGCTGAATGGTCCACGGGAGACCTTGCCTTGGAAGAGGTGGGAATGGGGGGGGGGGTTGTGGGGGAAGGCTGGGGAGCAGGAGGAGGGAGGAGAGGGGATCTGTGGTTGGTATGTAAAATGAATAGAAAAATTCTTAATAATTTTTTTAATTTAATAAAAAATAAAAAAAAGCTGACAATTGGATCTTCTTGGTGGATACACTAAGCATCCTAAAGGTTCTCCTTAATTTAAATTATATGCTTTATTCACTTGGTTTAAGTCATATATACCTTATTTGTATTTCTCACCAACTGCATTTTCAGTTTCTACAAAATTTAAGACGACAGAGATGTGCCTTCTAATCAGTTTGAAGAGGAAAGTGATTAATATGCACAGGTTCACATAGTAGCATTGATTTTCTGCAATTTGGTTTTCTTCTGTTCTCTTAGGTTGTTCCCAGTACCTGCTCCCCATATTCATTCCTTCACTGGAAAATTTAAGAAGTAATCGGAAGAGACTGTGCAGACTGACACTCCCCGTCACTGTCTGCGGCAGGCTCCCCTGGGGACTTTTTCTCCTCCTCCTGTGTGAAGACCAGTTCATCCACCTGTAAACTTAGGAGCCTAGCCGAAGGATTTGGCTCCATCACTTTCTGTCTCCTGTCGCTAGTTTTTCTGAATCTCATTCCTTCTCAGGATACAAATATGCTGCTACTTATCCCATCTTTAAAAAAGGAAAGCAGCCAGGCAGTGGTGGCACACATCTCTAATCCCAGCACTGGGGAGCCAGAGGCAGGTGGATCTCTGAATTCAAGGCCAGTCTGGTCTACAGAGCGAGTTCCAGAGAGAGAGAGAGAGAGAGGCAGAGAGAGAGGGGGGGGAGGGAGGGAGGGAGGGAGGGAGAGAGGGAGGGAGGGAGGGAGAAGAAAACAAGCAAACAAAACCCATCCTGCCTCAATTTCCCCCTATAGTAATACAAAAGAAGTGTCATGCTTCCAGCCTCTATTAATTCTCTCTTAAATGTCCCACTACCCCACTAACCAAATAGCTCTCATCAAACTCATTCTCCAGTCCTCATTTTAGTGGGCTCCTAGCAGTTGACCTCTTCTTTGTTCCAGAAATGTTGTCTTCATTCCCATGAACCGTAGCTGCTTAGTCTTCTTTCCTCATTAATGCCTTCGAGTCTCCACCTGGTCTCCCGACCTCCAGTGGTGTCACATTCCAGCTGATTCCTTAGCCTTCTTTCCTGTCCTGAGCTCACTTCCTGAATTATGTCTCAGTCTTAAGTCTCCAACTGCCACCTGTATGCAGTCAATGCAGTATACATGCATTCTCTAGACTCGAGCCTTATCCAACTGCCAGTCTTAACACCTCTGGCTGATTATATTAGAAACTTCACACCAGCCTGCCTAAAGCTGAGCTCTTAGTCTTTACTGAGCACCCCTGTCTTACTGAATGACACCTCCCATCCTGTCCATTTGCTCAGGTCATTAACCCCATTACGTATCCAATAGCAAATCCCAAAAATCCAGAATTTGATTGTTTCATATCCCTGCAGTCACTATTCTGATGCAAGCCCATTGTTGGGGTGATATTGTGTTCCCCAATATATTTTGCACCCTAATAAACTTATGGGGTCAGAGAACAGAACAGCCACAAGACAGACATATAGGCCAGAAAATGGTGGCACACACAGCTTTAATCCTAGCATTCTGGAGGCAGAGATCCATGCAGATCTCTGTGAGTTCAAAGCCACACTGAAAACAGCCAAGCATGGTGACACACGCCTTTAATCCCAGGAAGTGATGATAGGAAGCAGAAAGGTATATAAGGCATGAGAACCAGGAACTAGAGCCTTTGAAATTTTTGGCTTTTAGCAGCAGTTCAGCTGAAATTCATTCAGATGAGGACACAGACAGAGGCTTCCAATTTGAGGAAACAAGATTAGCTGTGGAATTGGTGAGGTGAGGCTTGTTCTGTTTCTCTGATCTTTCAGTGTTCACCCCAACATCTGGCTCCTGAGATTTTTATTAATAAGACTGTTTAAAATTCATGTTACACATCGTTATTGGGATCTAAAGAGAAAGCTCTTAACTGATCTGCTCCCGTCCTACTCCGTTTTCAACATAGCGGCCAGAATATAAAACGTAAACCACATTACCTCATTTCTCAACACCCCCATGCCTTCAATAGCTTCCTCTCTCCGAGTCAGTGTCCAAAGCCCTTCAGTGTGACCTACAAGCCCTTACATGACCTGTCCCTATTATCTCTCTTAGTGTCATTCTGTTCCCTCAGTTCCAGGCTGACCTAACGGCTCTTTTCTTTGACTCACTAAGCATTATCTTGCCTTAGTCTATTCCCCCTACCTAGAATCTTCTTCCCTGAACAGGAATCTTCATGGATCATTTCCATACCTTCTTGGGATTTTTACCCCAGAGCAGCCCTCCCTGATAGCCCCATTTAAAATTGAAGTCCTTGTGTTGCTATGGAATGAATGTTTTTACCTTTCAGATTCACATACTGAAACCCTAAGATGATGTTTAGAGGTGGAGACCTTATGAAGTGTCTTAATCCGTGTTCTATTGCTGTGAAGAGTCACCTTGAGCACAGCAACTCTTGCAAGGGAAAGCAGTTAATTAAGTGGGCTGGCTTACAGTGTCAGAGGTTTCGTCCATTGTCATCATGGTGGGAAGCATGGCAGCACACAAGCTACATGATGCTGGGGAAGTAGCTGAGTTCTACATCTGGATCTCCAGGCAGCAGGAAAAGACTTTGTATTTGGAATGGGCCCTTGAAACCTCAAAGCCCACCCCCAGTGACACACTTCCTCCAACAAGACCACACCTCCTAAGCCTTTCAAATAGTGTCACTCCCTGGTGTCCAAGCATTCAAATCTATGAGCCCATGGGGGCCATTTTTATCCAAACCACCACATGAGGTAATTGGGCTTAGGTGAGGGGATAGAGCTCCTTGATAGAGTTAGTGTCCTTCTAAGGGGATAAAGGATCCTCAACACAATTGCAGTGCTTCCTGGGCTCTCATCATGTTGGCATCCTCACCTCAGATTTCCCAACCTCCAGAATGGTGAGAAATAAATGTTTGTTATTTAAGCCACACAGCAGTATGTCATTTACCAGTATAACTAACATTTTAGTACTTTAGTATGTATTTTTTTTTATTATATTTCTCCTTCCACTGGAAACTAAATTCCATGATACCATGGGGTTTTGTTTTAATTACTGCAGTGTCACCAATCAGTTCCTGGCGCATGCTAACTCATCTGCAAGCACTTGTTGATTATATGAACATATGAAATGTGCTATATCTTAATTATAGTTTGCATGTGACTGCCCCCCCCTTCCAAAGATTTGTGTGCTGGAGTTTGATCATTAACAATGATGATGGAACCTGATGATGCTCAGTGGAAAATGGTTAGGCCATTGGTGGTACCAGTTCTGGAAAGGGTTAATGTAAAATTTCTGTTTCCATGTTGGTTCTCTTGAAGGTGTGTTATATTGGTTACTTTGTTCATTGCTATGTCAAGATACCTGTCAGCAATAAGGAAGGAAGGAAGGAAGGAAGGAAGGAAGGAAGGAAGGAAGGAAGGAAGGAAGGAAGGAAGGGTTTATTTTGGTACATGGTTTTAAGTGGGACATTCCACTGTGGCAGGGAAGACGTAACAGTTCATGGAGGTAGAAGTGTATGTCTGGAATTCCTTACATCTGGATAGATCATGAATCAGAGACCTGGACAGAAAGTGAAGCCAGACGATAACCCACAAAGGTTTAATATTCTCCCAAAACAATATCACCAGTTGAGGACCATGTGTTCAAACTCATGAGCATGTGGGGAACAGTTCACTCCATTAATTGTTAATAGGAAGTTGTTTATAATCCCCTGGATCTCTTTGGAGGTCTCTCTTGGTGTGTGGCCTCTCTATTTTGCACATGCTACTACTATGATGCCATCTTCCATGAGGCTCAAATGAGACCACCTACTCTTGGATTTTCGACCTCCAAAGTTGTAAAGTTTTGAACTAAATTAATCTCTCTCTTCCTTTCTCTCTCTCTCTCTCTCTCTCTCTCTCTCTCTCTCTCTCTCTCTCTTCACACACACACACTATCAAGGCTCAGATATTTTGTTATGGCAACAGAAAACAGATGAGTACAAGAGTTTTGCTTAAAAAAAATAGTGCATCAGGGGTTGGGGATTTAGCTCAGTGGTAAAGCGCTTGCCTAGCAAGCGTAAGGCCCTGGGTTCGGTCCTCAACTCTGAAAAAAAAATAGGGCATCATTCCTCATACTTCATATTATCCACTATTATCAATGAATTATTGAAGGTTCCTCACCACCTTGTTTGGAAATTAACCATGAAAGATACAGTGAATGACACAGTAGAAATTCTCAATATGAATGCAATCAAGAAATAGAAAAGATACTATTGCATACTGGTTATGAGATGCCTTTCTAGATTACAAAAGTACAGCAATTTTATTTATAGGAAGAGAAACAGATACATGACCAATTAAGTATTGTGGAATATTTGTTAAAGATGTGTTACATTCTCTTATGCTGTGGAATATTTGTTCAATGACGCCAAGATGTATTGCATTCTTTTATGTTGCATTTGTTTAACTGTGAAACTGCATTACTTTGCCTATCTAAAACACTTGATTGGCCTAATAAAGAGCTGAATGGCCAATAGGTAGGCAGGAGAAAGGATAGGTGGGACTGGCAGGTAGAGAGAATAAATAGAAGGAGAGAAAGAGAAGAGGGGGAGCAAGAAAAGGAGGAGAGGAGGATGCCAGGGGCCAGGCACACAGCCACATATGGAATAAGAAGGAAAGAAAAGATATACAGAAATAGAGAAAGGTAAAATCCCATAGGCAAAATTTAGATGGGGATAAGTTAAGAAAAGCTTGCTAGAAGAAATAAGCCAAGCTAAGGCCAGGCATTTATAAGAAAGAACATGTCTCTGTGTATTTATTTGGTAGCTGGGTGGTGAGCCCACAAAGAGCAAAGAATGAAAAACAACCAACTACATTGAGTCTAATTCCTCCTAAAAAACAAAAAATCTTACAAAGGATAAGAAATAGTGCTTGTAGACTCACAATTTGAACTTCATTCCCAGCACCGACTCCTACTGAACAGAGCCCAGACACTTAAACACTGTAGAAACTGAAGTTGTAGTACTTTCAGTCATTAAAGGAGTTATGAATTATGTTGAAAGAATCCTAGCATTCATTAGAGAGACTTTCTTCATAAACTCTGTTACTTGCAATGACCTCTCTCTACTCAGCATTGTAAAAAGAAGCATGTTCTTCCAGAACATGTTGTTGATGTTTTCTAGTCTTTGTCTCTTTGGGGACCCACCACCCAGCTCCCAAATAAATCATACATAGAGGCTTTTTCTTAATTATGAATGAATGGCCTTAGCTTGGCTTGTTGCTAGCCAGCTTTCCTTAACTGTGAATTGCCCCTTCTACCTTTTGCCTAAGGACTTTTTCCTTTTCTTCCTTCTGTAATCTTACTTTCACTCTTATTCCATGGCTGGCTATGTGGCTGGGTGGCTGGCCCCTGGAGTCCTCCTCCATCTTTGACTACTTCTTTCTGTCCTCCCAGATTTCTCCTTCCATATATTCTCTGTGCCTGCCAGCCCCACCTATCTTTTTCCTGCCTTGCTATTGGCTGTTCAGTTCTTTGTTAGACCATTAGGTATTTTAGGCAGACACAGTAACACAGCTTCACAGAGTTAAACAAATGCAACATAAACAAAAATAACACACCTTAAAACAATATTCTCCAACAAGAACAGGGTTTGATTTCTTTAGTTTCAGCTAATTGGCCCAAAGACCCTGAGATAAGAGAAGTTAGTGGAGAAAGGCTTCTGACAGTATAAATAACTAAAGGATTTAAAACCACTTATAAAGGAAAAGAGGGGTGTCAGCTGTAGTCTACAGGTCAGAGAAATCCAAATGCAAGCTTTGTAATCTAGCTCTATTTGTCTGTTTCCTTTCAGAGCACAATGCCCTGTAGATTTGTGCATATTCTGCCTCTTTACCTCTCATTCTCCCTAGTCAATCCACTGACTTTGGAGGTTCCCCAGGAACCATCTTATGAAGCGCAATGGCCATTCACACAATTACCTTGCTCATCGTGGCAGTTTCAGACACCAGTAATTTCTGCCTTCCAGGAATACGCCGTCCTCTAAATTCCAGTGTTGGCACACCCCATATGTGTTTGCTCTCTCTTTTTCCTTCTTGCTGTCCATTGCCTCCCAGTTTTCTTTGCTGCCTTCGAAATCTCGGGGCTCAAACTTCCATTCTCTTTAGATAAGGAAGCTCATCCAAGTCCCACAACTTACAAACTATGTGGAGTGTGGTGTGTGTATGTGTGTGTGTGTGTGTGTGTGTGTGTGTGTGTGTGTGTGTGTGTTGCACTGTTATATGCCCATTTTTATCTTCTGTCATTGCCTCTGAGCTCCAGACTGGAATACCAACGGCATGTTGTTTCACCATAAGCATCTACCAAGTTCACATACTAGAAGCCATTTTTGAATTCTCTTTCCCTCAACCCCTTCCTATAGCCTGTGATCAAGTGCTGCTGGCTCTGAAGAGGACACTGAATGTTCCCCTTCTTCCCCGTCTGTTGCGGCCATCATATCCTCTCCTCTGTCCTCTCCACTGCCCTCTCCTCCTGTCAAAGTCCACACTTGCTTAAACAGGAATTAGATCACACAGGACCTAACACCCTGTTGAAAACCTCATGGCTCCTCACTCTCCCACCAATAAAAGACAAATACCCTGATGAGGCTGCAAGACCCTGATGCCATCCGCCACTTCTCTTCCCCAAGACCCTGGATTCCTTTTCCTCCCTAGCAGTCAAGATTTTTCCCGGGTGTGTTTTGGTATTACATGTTTCCGATGTGTTCTTACTGCCCACCTTCCAGTGCCGCGCCCTGCTCATCTTGTTGAGCTCTGAACTTAAATGTCACCCCTCAGACAGGCCGTTTCTGACTCCTCCCCATGTTAACCTGTCACCATGTTTCCTATTCGTCAAAGCACCTGCTGTGCCAGGTGTGTTTGTCCACCATTACTTGCCTTTCACTGATGCATCAAGAAATTCCATTTCCCTCAACTCTGTATCCCCAGTACCCAGAAGGATGCCGGGCACATAAAGCTCAGTACGTAGTTGTTAGATCAATAAATAACAATGCTTAGAGGATTTACCAAGGACAACTTTAACTGACACCTAACTCCAAAGGAAAAACATTTGTCGTTTAATTAGCACTGTATCTTGGAGCAAATTTCTCTGAGGTATCATTTATTTAACATGTAAAATAGCCTGTCTTACCTCATTGGGAAGGTTACCAGTATCTGACAAGTCCAAAAAAAAAAAAAAAAAAAAAAGCCAAAAAACCAAAACACTTGAAAATAGTCGCTAATTTTCTCCTGTGATTTTTCAAACTTAATACATGCAATAGTAGCACTGTCCATAAGGTCCAGAGTGGGTCTTCAGAGAGGCTTTTCTCTAGAATGTTTTGGTCAAGTCTTATGGGTAACTTGTATTTTCATCTAGATTAACTGTTCACTGCCTTTTCACAATACAAATACTATTAGTATTATTTTTTTTACTTTCCCCATTGTGAATTTTCACAGAAAGTTTTGTTATTTCATTCAAATCCCTTCATGATAACTTTAGGAGAAGATACAGTTGTGTGGCAGATACTGAGCAGGACTCTAGCCCTGCTCAAAAGCCAAGACCCTGCCCCCACAGCTCCCACCTGTGCCCTGGATAAAGGACCACTTACTGCACATTGTTCCAGCCATTCTGAGGCAGTCACTATAGAATCAAGACCCACTGGGGTTTTTCAAGTTGCAAGCTAAGTATATATCTTTTTTTCTGAGACTGACTTTTAAAAATTTATTTATTTTACATCTTGACCAGTTTCCCCTCCCTCCCCTCCTCCCAGTCCCTCTCCTCCACCTCCCCTCTGCCCCCTCCACAGTCCTCTCCTCCATTTCTAGTCAGAAAAGGGAAGGCCTCCCGTGGACGTCAACAAAATACAGGAAACCAGGTTGCATTAACACTAAGCATCTCCCCTTGTATTAAGGCTGGGCATGGTAACCCAGTATGAGGCATAGGGTCCCAAAGCCAGCAAGAGTCAAAGACATCCCCTGGCCCCACTATTAGGAGTCCCACAAGAAGACCAAGTTACACAGCTGTCACATATATGCAGAGGGCCTAGGTCAGTCCTATGCAGGCTCCCTGGTTGTTGGTTCAGTCTCTGTGAGCCCTGGTACTCTCAGGTTAGTCAATTCTGTGGGTCTTCTTATGATGTCCTTGACCCCTCTGGCTCCTACAATTCTTCCTCCCTCTCTTTAGCAGGATTTCCTGAGCTCAGCCTAATGTTTGGCTGTGTGTCTCTGCATGTTTTCATCAGTTGCTGGATGAAGTGACAGTTGAGCTAGGAACCAGTCTATGCATATAGCATCATTACATTGACATTTTTTTTCCTCCAGTGGTATTTGGTCCTATCCTAGGCTGAGACTGAGTCTTTATGAGCCATGGAAAATACATCCACACTGTCTCACCAGAGCACCATGTGTGTATGTACTACTTAGCACTGATCTGGAAGCAGGGAGGGTGTGGAAACCAACCCCAGGACCTCCCAGTACCATTTCTCTTCCCACATTTCTGCTCTTTGGGCATGGTGACCCTTGCCATCCCTCCCCCACCCCCGCATCTTCCAGTATGAATGATGTTGTGTCCTTGTAGTTTTGGTTGAGTAAGCACCAAAGGCTACCTTTCTGTAGCCTCCTCAAAATCAGTTGTTTTCATTAAGGAAGTCTATCTGGAGTGTTTTCTCTTCAGTCATAGTAATCATCAGTCCATCTAGAAAACCCCCTTAAACATTATTTTATAGCAGCTCTTCAGCCTTAACTGAATCTGAAAGCACGCAGTACTCTTTTATTCTGAAGCAGTATCCTGAGTTCTTTCAACAGAGTGTTGGAACTTTTCCTACAACTTACACAATTAACTAAAACAACTTACCCTCCAGGCTTTATAACACACTAACAGCAGATGGTGCTACGAACGCACACAAGTAAATTTGTGTAGACCAGCAGGACTGTCACAGCTTTATTTTGTGACTCATAACATAGAAACAGGCTTTTAAAAACACTTCATATAAAGTTATTGACAATACAATTTTTTTCAGTTTTTTTTTCTTTTAATGAAAATGATTTAACTTAGAAATCTGCTCTGAAACTTTTGTCTAGTTTTGCAATTCTCAGATACTCCAGTGCAAAAATAGATCCATTACAGACAGCATAAAGTGCTTGGAATAAGGGCCGATGATAAAGAAAAAGCACAAAAACAGCTTCATCCTAGGGCCCAAGGGAAAAGACCATACCGAATCCATATGGAAATAGAAATGCTCTATAAAAAGGGATGCAACCATTTTGAATCAGAACAGTATTACCGTGGTATTACACTACTACCAGTAAATAGTAACAAGAGTACAAATTAGTATTTCAGTATCAAAGTGGTTCCCCAGTACACAACACATGGCTCTTTGGAACAATTTTACCTGATCTATACAACCGTGAGAAGACAGCAGACAATCCCTTTAGGTCAATGACTACTATACAGAGAGCAAATGATGTGTAACATTTAGTAGGCATGAGGCTTATGCTTTCAGTACAGACGTCTCAATACAGCAGTTTGAGGTTTGTTGGTTTCATGATGAATTGCGCTGGGGATGTAGAGAGAGAGGACTCACTTTCTTTTGTCTTTCTCATATTCACAGTTAGTAAGTTTTCCAAGATTAAAAAGAAAGAAAAAAGTAAATCAGAAGTGTATGCGCTTGAGAATTTCTAAACTCACATGGTACATCACCATAGGGAATATAAGGAAATTTTATTTGAAGATAGGATTTTAAAATCTCTAAAATAACTACATTTACACAAGGAAATTAAAGATTGCTGTTTAGATAGTGTAAAAGGTAAACAATGCCTACAGATTGTTTCTAGCTTTAGAAAAGATTTTAAATCTACATTGAATTAGTTTTTTTTTTTCAAAATGGTTCACAGTGTTTTATGCTTTTTGTTGTTATTTGTTTTTTGTTTTTACTATGGCCTCAAAATCAGAGTTATTAAAACAATGATTTGCTCAGGGCTGTAGTGTAATGAAAAGTTAGCATATGATAATAGTGGACTGAGAAAGCCAATAAAAGGTTGATTTTGAAAAACAAAGATTTTTTTCTTTGAATTTTTTTATCTTTGATACATAAATACAGGGGTATGCCAATAATTACTGGAAATATTTTCATTGTCATTTTAGAAAGCTATGTTGACATTAGTATCAAAATAGTCATTTTTCTTTTCAAGCAATGAGTTACATAACAATAGTCTATAAACTTATCTAATTTGAAATAGATCTGAACTCTTACACTTCCAAATGTATTGTTTAAATTTTAGAGTAAGTTGAAGAAATGGGTGACCGTGAAAGCTCACTTGAACTCTGCCATGCAGGAATTCACTCAAATTTTTGTTTTGTATGGAGACACATGACATCGAGCATTAGGGAAATAATATGTTTTACATAGCTTGCCAATGAAAACATTAAAACTTGGGTTAGAAAAGTCTGAAAAAATATTCCATGTGGAATAGTTCATTGATTTTTATGATTGGTTAGATTGAAGAGATGAAATATTTGAGATTGTCAGAGGTTTAAGTGGGTGTCTAGGATCCTGCAAAGCCAATTATTTTGAAAGTCCCAAAGGTCACAAGCACAAGTGGTATCCAAGAAATTTCAAGCTAGGTGTTTTCTCCTTAAGAGAGTTCGTGGTTAACTCACCCTTCTTAGCTTTTGTATCAAGTGGGCAAGGGAGTGTGACCATATTCTTTCAGTGGATTCAACAATACCACCTATATCTGTAAATCAGTCAGCTGAATACATGGCACAGAAAATCTGCTAGTCACATCCCTCACTCCTATCCACATATCTACACATTGACTACACTCCAAAAATACTTAATCAACAAACCAAAATGAATAGTATTCTCCAGGATCTTAAAATGTGGCATGAGATGTTGACTACCATGTTGGTTTCTGGTCACCAGGCACTAGTTATACATTCCATCTGCAAATTTACCATGGAAAATAAGGTATGAGGCAGTGTGGCCATGTTCCTTTATGCCACCAACGTCTATACATATGGTTCAAGGTTCCAGAAGCCACTGGTAAAACTTAAGAGTCCAAATAATATTAATAGTGCAAAGATTTTTGTCAAAATTCCACCTTTTCATTTTCTAGGTTAATTAAAACAGTTAGAAATTATACTAGCAATAATACTACATTTGTGTCAAATAATAAAGGATCTTGAGATGCAGCGTACCGTGTTGTGTTAACAGACAGTCAGGACAAACAGACCCAGACCTCCCACGTGTAAATGCACCAGCTCTTTCATGCTACACCCTGAACTTGGCAGCCTGCAGCCCCAGTAGTTGGGTGCTGATCTGTTTCTAATATCGCTGATCTAATATGTCTGAAACCTTCTCAGAAAGATGACCTGGTGCCCCATGACTCCAGGCACCGGCAAGACCGAACAACAGAACCAAGTCTCCTGTAGTTAGAGAGATCCACATTTTGCATGTAATAGCCACAACAGCAGCTCATCAAAGAAAGAACCAAAGCAGGGCTTTAGTCACACATGGCACCATTTTGTCACCTGATATTTAATGATGTTGACAGACAGCAAGGGGGAGCTTTCACAAAAGTGTGTGTGACACACCTCAGTGCTTCAGACCTTCTAAGCAACTTGGCACTAGTAATTCTGGCACACTCATTGCCAGCAATGGATGTGTCACTAGGAAACCATTTTTTGTGGTTCAGCATGGCTTAATGGGTGCCTTTGACTTTGATTACAACTGGCCATGACTATTTGATGGATTGTTGTTGCAATCCCAGTGAGAATACACAGGAACAAAAGAGTATGAATCCAAACCCGTAGTTCGCTTGGTTCCATACCAGAGTTTCACATCTGTATAAGGTAATGAACTAACTTCAAGTCATTTTCTCTAGAGAGCCATACAAGACATAGGCTACAAAGGCACTGCCCCTGTAATGGAATTGTGAGTTCTCGTTGCATTGAATTGCATTGCATTGAATAGTGTCAGTACAGTATCCAGTTGGTTTTTCTCTGCAGAAACGCAGGACTCTTTCTTCTGGAACACTCGACACAGTGCGGAGGAAGATCTAGCTCTCCCTTCCTTTCATTCACCCTGTATGAGCAGGACTCCTCATACATAACTTTCTTTCACTTTCTCATCTTGCAAAAAAGATGTTAGAACAGACACATCCACAACTGTCTGATTTTTGTGTAATGACAGGTCCTTTAAGTGGTCATCATCACTTTGGTCCTTGGCAAAGTTCACAAATACCTGTCAAAAGGAAGATGGAAATTCATGAATACCTCATGGCTTGCTCTTTTGTTATTGTAGTATCATTTTTTATTTATGGTTGCATTTTTTTCCCTTGTGTTGAAATTAGGTCAGGTAGAACATAGAATTGAGTAAGTAGTTGAACTAGAAAATGCTGTGTGAAGGGGAGAATACTTAAAAAAACATCAAAAGCACTTAAAAATTATTTTCTACATTATCCCCATACCACCAACTGCTCAGTCATCTACTTATCAACCATCACTTTGGCATTATTTAGGCTTGTTTAAAAAGAAAAAAAAAATACTTCCTGGATACCTATTAACTACCAATTCTGGTATATTTTGTTATTTAGTAGAAATAAGGCACCTGGCAAAATGTCTGGCTCATGGTTGATAAGCAATAAATGGTAGTTATTATGACTGCTGCTACAACAGTCACGATAACTACATATACAATAAAGCATCACCATTTTGCATGCGCTCATAGAGATTTATACAGAATAGGCAATAATAACAGAGAAGGAATCAAAGCACAGACAGGCTGACCTTCTCTCAGGCTCACGGTGGGAAGAAAGGACCAGGCATCCTAACCCTGCAGCTAAAGTACTTTTGACTGAAGGCTTACTTGGTCAAGTGTTGTCTGGGAGACAGAGTAGTCTTCTATGTGGAGTCGTTTTTTGCTCTGGGAGAGGATGCTGAATATCCTGGCCAGAGATGACAAGGAGGATGGAAGCTGGTACTGTAGCATGTTTCGGTGTTTCTCTTTTAGGACACTTCCTGGAAAGGCGAGTCCAAAGAACTCCTGGACAGGCTTCAGGTCAGGGTTGGACCCTGCTATTCGTACAACAATTGTGTAACCATCTCCAAACCTGAAGGCCGGAAAAAAAAATACATCCAAATGGAGCATTCCCAGACAACTTCTCAAGAGGATACTTAACCCCAGAAACCCAACTTGTACTGAGAAAGGGAGATCTCTGGCAGACCTACAGAGCAGTTTCTGAGAGAAGGAACCTATTTTATTGACCAAATACCAAATCATGCTTGGTGCCAAGCTCAGAACCTTGAAGACAAGATTCCATTAAATCCTCAATGTGGACCCATGAAGTCTGACACACAGGCAAACAGAAGCCCAAGAAATTTAGGCACCTGCCCATGTCCTAAACTTAACTCCTGAGTTATGGTAGGGCAAGGATGTGAACCCATTTCTGTTAACTCCACAGTGTGTGCTTATTATCATAATATCACATATGAATTATTAAATTCAATTTATATAACAAAATTCAGAAGAGTCCCAGGAAACCTCCTCTCAGAGAGGTTAAGGAACTTGCCTACAAATCACACAACCAGTACATGGGTAAAGTCAGAATTGGACTACTGCCCATTTAGACTTCAAAGTCCATGTGCTTTTCACTATGCTCTTTTGTTTTTATTTTAAGCCACCATATATACACTCAACAAAGAATAAAAATCAATCATTTCACTGGGTGCTGTCCCAAAGAAAAATTATCTCTGTTACCTGTTTTTCAGATGTTGGACACTGCCAAGGCACCTGAACCTCCCATTGACCATAATGGCCATCCTTGTGCAAAGAGCTTCACATTCTTCCATACTATGAGAAAACAGAATGAGGTTTTCCTTTCAGAGAGATGCTCCCTTAAGCATTGGAACATCACCATGACACCTGGTACTTTAAAGAAACAGATCCCCATTATCCTAGGGCATCTCTTGCCAAGATACAGAAATGATGTTCTCCTCTGTCATGTGCCTTACAATTGTGAAAATGTAGAAATAATCCCAATGTTTGCGCAAAGAAAAGTTACATAAATTAAAGTAGATCTTCATGAAATCCAGCTATAAAAAATGATGGCACACCTAAATTTTATGACTTGAAATAATGTTCTCAGTACACACATTATAGTTACATTTTTTTGTTTGTAAAATACTTAAATGTTTACAGCTTTGCAGAAGAAAACTCTGAAACATATACAGACAAATGATAATAATAGTTATCTTGAAGTGGAAAAATTCTAGGTGATAACTATTTCAGTCTTTGCCTTTATTTCCTGATTTTTATAAAATGACCAAATATAATCACACACTGCAAAAGCCGAGACTACATAGTACAGACCTATGAGATGTAAGGACCACGGATCTCCCCTCCTTAACAATGCTTAGGGCACAATTCCACAAGAATCTCCGAGCTTTGGGATCCATGCCTGTGGTTGGTTCATCCTATAATTAGAATAAAACAAGTTCAATTATTTGCTGGGAAAAAAATACCAAAGACAATTTTTTTTTAAAGATTTATTTATTTATTATGTATACAGAAGAGGGCACCAGATCTCATTACAGATGGTTGTGAGCCACCATGTGGTTGCTGGGAATTGAACTCAGGACTTCTGGAAGAGCAGTCGGTGCTCTTAACCTCTGAGCCATCTCTCCAGCCCAGACAATTTTTTTTTAATGCTAAAGATCATGCCTAGTGTGGTGGCACACACCTTTAATCCTAGCATTGGGGAGACAAAAGCATGTGGATCTCTGTGAGTTCAAGGACAGCCTAGTCTACATATGAGTTCCAGGCCAGCCAGGGCTACATAAGTGAAACCCAATCTCAAAAAAAACAAAACAAAACAAAGCTGGGCGGTGGTGGCGCACGCCTTTAATCCCAGCACTCGGGAGGCAGAGCCAGGCGGATTTCTGTGAGTTTGAGGCCAGCCTGGGCTACCAAGTGAGTCCCAGGAAAGGCGCAAAGCTACACAGAGAAACCCTGTCTCGAAAAAAACAAAAAAAACAAAAAAAACAACAAAAAAAAAAACCTTTTTTGTCTAAAACTGTTTTTGAAGAGTAAGGTTTAGGTAAAACTGTTACTCGTAGTTTTTCCTAAATCACTCCTTGTTCTCTTATACTTGCTAATCTTATGGAAATCTCATATTCACATGGTCAAGTTAACATTAAAGCCTCAACTCGGGCTTCTTCCCACATCTCCAGTGCTTTCTACAAAATGAGGGTCAAGGGCCATTGCCCAGTCTGATGTGGTTTTTATTTATCTGTATAGACGGAACTATGGTTCAGTGGCTACTGTGGTCACCTTGAATCAGTGTCCTCACTCTCTACATTTGGAGGATGAGCATGCAGTCATGAGTCATGACGAATGTTCCAGAGGAAGATCAAATCACACATTCAGCTTCAGCCATACTTGTAGGGATTACCCAAGGCAAGGAAACAAAAGTGCCTGGAGCATATCTATTGGGAGCCTGTGAAGGTCCAGGAGGGTCATCCAGTGTGCTCTGTGGGAGAAGCTTCGCTCTGCTTCTCCAAGCAGTCAGTGGCAGACTGACGTGCCGTCACCATGCCAGGATATGCAAGGGCCCATATGTGACTTCAGATAAACCATGCTCATTCAAGACAGAAGAGTAGCTTCCACCTTCTACACACTCACCAGAAACACCACAGGAGGCCCACCGATCAAAGCCATGGCTGTGGAGAGCTTTCGTTTGTTACCTCCACTGTAGTTACTGGCATATTTTTCTCCATACTTTACAAGGCCCAGTTTGCGAATTGCCCATTCACCAACCTAGAGAGAGAAAAAGCACTTAGATTTTTGTCCGGTGCAGTACTGGCATCACGCTTGAGTGGGACTCAGGTCTCAGCTCCCTCTGAGGACCCAGAGGAGGGAGAAGAGACTCCTGTGGCAGGACCTGCACCCGCTCCTTGCCCCCTAGCCTGTGTTTCGCCTACCCTCCCATCTCCCACCATGAGAGTGGGTGCAGAGACGGACTGAAGCACAAGCAAGGAAAAGGTCTCAGGTCGCCATCACCCAGGTGTCAAAAGAAGACAGTCTGGCCTTCTGGTTCCCACAATACCTTGCCAACTTCTTTTTCTGGGACTCCCCTCAAGAGGGCAAAGAACTCCACGTGCTCTCTCCCAGTCAGCAGCTCTGTGATGGCATCAAACTGAGGGCAGTAGCCCATGTTCTGATGGACTTCATGGATATCTGATAAGATGCTGGAAAGGAAGAGAGACCCAGTCAGGTGTTCAGTCTCCGGAGATATTCTGATGGGACAATCTGGCCTGACATTCCTAAAAGAAATATGCTTGTACAGAACACAACCTACACATGCTTCTGAAGCCTTTCAGTCCCTGATGCCAATTCCTGTGAGCAGTAAGGTCTTTCTCTCTGCCCTGGCTAGGTCATGTTAGCTCATGAGTACTTCAACCGCAAGCTTGGTCCAGTTTCCAAACAAGTCTCTGTGGTGGACTAATCTTTTTGTACACTGTGAAGATTCGTCACTCGGACTAGTTTAATAAAAAAGCTGCATGGCCAATAGCTAGGCAGGATCTTCAGGGCAGAAAGGATGCTGGGAAGAAGAAGGGCAGAGACGGAGAGAGTCTCTAGCCAGAAGAGGAAGCAGCATGGGCAGTACAGAGTAAAAGTAATAGAGCCACAAGACAAAAAGTAGACCCATTTATTCCTCTATTTGTTTATTTTATTATAGACCCTCTAACATATGGTAACAGGAAAAAAATACACATATAGATAATTTTACTTATACCTATAGAACCTGTAGGTTCTATAAAGCAAGTCAAGCTAACAGTTGCTATTATGTGAAAATTTGGGCATTCATATCCCAGGCTGATGGTTGCCTTTCAGCCACTTCCAGCCAGCCATGAACTTGACACATAGGCACAGTCCTCTCTGCTTCTTTAGTACTCTTGGGTCAGCCACCTCAGGACTTATAACTTAGGTACCCATGGTCATTGTGCCTGGCTCTCACAGCTACGTTGCCCAAGGCAGTTGTATAATCAGTAGCTGAAATAAACATTAGGGTATGCCAGTTACTGTCATCTTTTTATGTTCCAGGAACTTGCTACTAGAACAAGACTGGGAAGTCATCACTAGTCCCAGAACTTCTATTCTTTTAAGGGTCCTTTAGATGAAAAAAAAAAAAAATCAGCAAGAGATCTGGAGGAGGTGGGAATGGGGGGTCGGCTGGGGGGAAGGGGAGGGGGGCAGGAAGGAGGAGAACAAGGGAATCTGTGGCTGTTATATAGAACTGAATAGTATTGTAAAATAAAATAATAAAAAGAAGAAAAAAGTAAAATAAAAATAATAAAAAGAAAAAAAAAAGAGATGGGAGGAGATGGATAAGTTCATTATGTTCCTGACTCTACAATAATACTGACTGTACCTCTACCCAGTGTTTCTGAACTATGAGCAACCTCCCAGTACTGGATTGTGAAATAAATTTAGTAGGTCACAGCCAGCAATTTTTAAATGGCATGACACAGACTAGAATATGAACGATTAGGGTACACAGTAGACGCCATTTTAATGAACTTTTCATTAGTGTATATGCCCATGTGCCTATGTGTCTGTGTATATGTACTACATTGAAACATAAAATGTACTTTCTACATGGCCATGAGCAGAAGAGTTCAGAAGGCACATAATATGCATTTATTCATATAGAGACCAGAGAAGCCCCACATCTTTAGAATACTCAAGGAAAATACCACCTAACAGGTCTCTGTGTAGCTTTATCCACAAAAATTAGAAAATGGCTTAACAGTGGCTTTATCAATTGGCATACACTTTACAGAGGGCAATTAGACAGGTATATATGCCCTTTTGCCATGTAGTGAATTTTCCAAGGAAATAACAGAATTTATCTACAAGGATATATTTACACAGTGAAAAATAGAAACTAATTCATGCCAAATGCTTATAAGGAACTGATCAAATAAAGATATTTACTTAGTGGAGTTTCTAGATTTTAGACTATGTAATCCATTTGGAAGTCTTCATTATAAACATGTTAATGATAGAATCTCAAAATCTATATAGAGTGGTGTTCTGTCATGACACATTTACATGTATCAAAAGGGTCTAAGCCAATGGAAAAGTTCTAAGACTCAGTCATGATTGCATTCTATGAATATACTTTAAAAAAATCACAGATCTGTTCTCTCAGAACAAGTAAATTATATGTATGCAAATTATACCTAAATAAAGTTTTAGGGAAGAGTAAAACTGCAAGAAAATATAAAAACAGTGTTTATTTCCAGGTAGTGAATTAGAGGTATTTTAAGAGCTTTTGACCTAAGTAATTTCAATGTTTTTCACTAGTTTGTAAATACTATAGTTAGTACTGGGATAGCCAGGAACAGTGTATTTCTTAAAGCTGAAGAAAGAACCTCTCCACAGCAAACACAGGCTGCTTCTTTTCTCACCTGTTTTTGTTAAGAAAAGCATCCCCTCTGGTCACAGTGGTGTCTCCAGTCAGCATCTTGAAAGTTGATGACTTCCCAGCACCATTAACTCCCAGGAGTCCAAAGCACTGAAAAACAAGACTAGGTGAGCTGCACGAACAAACTTCTAAACCTCAGTCTGAATGGCCTGATAAAATAGCCTCCTGGCTGGGATTTGATTTGCCATTGATCCCAAAGCATCGTTTCTAAGAATCAATGAGAAGTTCAATATTCAGACATCATGTGTTTGTGCATGCCTACGTGCATGCATATATGTGTCTGTGTGTGTTTGGGGAGAGAAAGAGAGTAGAGGAGAGAATGTGTTTATGTATGAGCCTAGTTGTATGTGGGTACACTTATAAATACTGAGTCATCAATTTGGAACCAAGGTCAGTCTGTGAAGAACAGTAAAGAAATCCAACTGGTCACAACTCACTACCTACCAACTACACTAAAAACATTTTTTTTAAAAAAAAGTCAAAAAATATGAAAGATGAAAAATCTATTTTATTTACCCTGTTTGAATTTCACCCTCTCAATGGATCCCCAAAGCAAGATCTAGATGTGCTTGCTTTCTTACCCTGCCTGAAAATGTCCAAAATTGTTCTATTTTGACACAGAGGTTCTCATTCTCTCTATGACTATTTCTCACAGACACAAATAAAGAAACCTTTAAAAGCCATGTTATATAGTCACAGACAACTGTTGTTTGATTTGGTAGATACAGTCTGAATTAATAGAGACAAAACACAACACAGACACAGTGCATTTACCTCCCCAGGAGGAATGCCTACACAAATCCTGTCCACGGCAGGCTTCCGCTTCCTCCTGTAGATCTGCAAGCAAGGAAACACAGAAATCCATGCATCTCAGTGACTCGGGGCTCTCCCACAACTGTGGACAACTAACCCACAGGACTCTGACCCACACACATCACAAAACACAACTCATCAAATGGCTATGCCACACAGTGGATGTGCCAAGAGCCTCACTCTGTCGTTTTTAACTGACTCTGAAACTCAAAATTGAATTTCTTTTTTATTTCTAACATGAGTCTGTTTAAAAAAAAAACAGTGATATATCTTAAAATTAAATTATATAAGGTAGAAGTCTATGATAAAATGTCTTAAACACAATAAAGCAAAATCGAAGGGTCATGGAATTTGGAAAGGGTTGAAGCAGACCTTGTCTTTCTGAGCAATGGAGGTAGAGCTGCTTTTGGGCCATGAAACTCAAAATCAATTGTTCTCTGAACCTTGGCTAAACACACAGTGTTAGTATGTTTTAATAACTAACATGAATGTAAATATGCAAAATAAATAAATCCAAGAGTGGGAATTGCATTATAAAAGTATTCTCGGTAGGATTTTTTTTTTTTTAAATTAAGAAGTCTCCATGGTGTATTTTACATAAAACTGACTAAACTTGATATAGATGCACATTGGGGGAAGCATTTTTTTTTTCTTAATTAAGCAAGTCAGCAAAATGCAAGTCAGCAGATGAATTGAAGAAGACTGAAGACAAGCTATTCCAGTCTATCCTCGCAACCTCACCTTAGTCAGCTCCTTGATTTCCAGGATGTCATTCTGTCCTCCACCATCCAGAATTCTCTGTCTCTCCCGTCTCACATCCTCATCTTCATCATTCAAAGGAGGAAGCTTCGCCTTTACAGGTCTTAGGAGAAACATTTTCAAGAAAAAAATCAAACATTTCAGCTACTTTCCAAGGCAACTTTCATGTCTCTAAAGCAACCTTACCAAGCCCACTTGCCACCATTCCTAGGGTTGACAGAGCTGGGAACTGAGGATGCTCACAACAGGAGAACCCCTTTAACTGTGTGAGCACAGCTCAGTGCAGCCACCCAGGACATGTTCCCCCTTGGCCCCCATCCAGTTACTGCAAGAGTGCTGGGAAAAAGCTCACCTGGGCCTGATGAAAAACCTGTACTGGATCAGAACAGTAATGAGGAAGAACACCACCCCTTCCACGGCCATGGCAAAAAGGTTTCGTCCTACCAAGTCCCAAGAGAGTGGAGACACAAAGCGATTCTCCCCTGTGAGACACAATGCAGACATCTGGTCAGGGGGAGGCATCAGAAGTCATGGCCCTACTTCCTGTTTCTGAAGTGAAGATTCCCTTTCAGGGCACCTAGAATAATGCTATGCACAAAGAGTGCACTTGAGTTGTGGGTGCTTTCTGTTGTTGTTTGTTTTTCATTTAAATTAGTAAATATTATGCTTAACCTGTGAGGCTAATTTAAGTGTAAAATTTGTTTAAACACTTGAAAAATTAAAGGGCTCCCTTTATATTAAAGAAAGAAAGAAAAGGAAGGGAGGAAGGGGGAGAGAGGGAGGAGGGAAGGAGGAGAGAGAGAGAGAGAGAGACAGAGAGAGAGAGAGAGAGTCCTTCCTCAGCATTGGGCTCAATTTCATGTAATTTTCTAGAAACATCAATGGCCACCACCCATGACAAGAAGAAAAAGAATAACAAGAGTGTCTACTTTTGAACTTTGATTTGGAGAATTATACAACCTGGCATCGGTCAGAATTTCAGAGCCAATTTGCATTAGATTCGCAACTTCATTAGGATTGCTAAGATTCCCTTTTTAATGAGACACGCCCCCCTACCCCCACTTCCACCCCTGCAAAAAAACCAGTCATGTCTAATAAGGCCAAAAATCCCGGGTAATTCTTGGGGTCAGATTTTTTTAGTTCTAAGTTTTGAAAGTAACAAGTATTAGAAAAACACATTCAAAAGATGTCCATTTCTGCAGCATTTAATGTAACCTAGTGACTGGTTAGCAGGATTTAGAAAACTATCCCTGAATTCTTCATATGTCTCCCTTGTATCACTAAACTGAAAAGGTCCCACTTCTATGTTTATTAAGTAGCATGACCCTTCTAACCAAATTAACCAGCAAATGAATAATAACCACATAACGACAGGAGACATTTTAACCATTAGAAAACTAGAGAAGAGCTTCAATAAATTATCTCCTTACAGACAAGTGAAACACAACAGAAGGCCTATGGTTCTTGGGAGAATCAAAGTGTACATCTTTCCTCTTGGATCTCTGGCCTTATCTAATTGCAAAGCTGTGCTTGCTTTTCCCAGTGATCTGACAGACTGACGTGTGGCAGCAGGTATTTTATTAGTTTCAAACAAACGCCAACATTTTTCTGCTCCCAAAGTTGGTTTGTTTGGTAATTTATGGCAATGCTATCAGAGGCACAGATAAATGGCTATAGGATGAGACTCATGACAGACCAGCTGTGTTGGTATTAGCCTTGGAGGGGTGTCATGGGGACAGACACCCTGTGCCCAGTCACACCCTCTTCCTAAAGCAGTGATCAGAGAGTGCTAAGGCCCATGCAAACCACCCCCTCCATCAAGGCTAGTGCTGCAGCTACCGCCTCACTCACCAAACCTCTCCAGGGCGTCAGCCATGGCCTGGTTTTTCACCATGTCAATGAGCCCTCGTCCCAGGCAAAAATGTGGGAAGATCAGGAACACAGACTTCAGGATGTCATTGATGTTATTCAGCTTCTGAAGATGAGAAGGAAGGGAGAGAAACATATCATTCATAGTCTACGCTAAAATTTTATCAAAGCTGAAATACAGATATGAAGAAAAGCATCCAATTCCCTGGATCTTTGAATTCAAATACCAATAAACAGCAGCAGGCATTTTGTTCAGAAAATCTGGAGTGATGCCGAGTATGTGAAAGTAAATAAACTTTTAACTTCTGGCTATTTTTAATCAGACACAAATCCACAACAAAACATCAGCTTAGCATTTTAAAAGCAAACCATCTACATCTAGGTCAATATTTGAGTTTCAGTATTTTGTTGAAATTTCAAAAACATCTTCTCAATTACATCAGAATGTATTATGACCCCATAAGACAAGGTTGGTTAACTATCAAGCCATTGGTGCTGGAGGGATGGCTCAGTGGCTAGAGGACCAGGGCTTGGTACCCTGCACCCACAGAAGGGCTCACAACGAGCCATAACTCTAATTCCAGGGGACCCAACTCCTTTGTCTGGCCTCTTTGAGCACTACACACATAGGGTACACAGACACACATCCAGGCAAAACACCCACACACATAAAATAAAAAGAGAAAGAAATCCAGCAGTAGAGTGAGTTGTTATTTGCTGCGTGTATTGAACAAGGGCATGGAGGATGCAAATGTTCATAATCTGTCTCGCTCAGAGGAAAAGAAGCTTGTGAACAGAAAATGCTGGCATAACCAAATGTGTGCTGAAGATCTGAGGGTTCGGACAGTCCAGAAAAGAAAGCAGAACCCCCTTGGGCAAATGAACAAACATCACATTAGAGTTAAAACTTAAAGATACGGTAAACACTCCCAAGCCCTGTGATAGAGGAGGGACATTTTAGGGCAGGCCTCCAGGGATATGGTGGTTTAAGAGGAAACTCAGCTGACATTACTGAGCATTGGAAGGGCCAACAAGGGCTGTACACCTACAAAAGGCACTGTGTGCTGAGCTAAGGTTTCAGAGCAAAAGCAAGAGTCTTTTGAGATATAGAGATTTGAACCTGGAAGGACTCAGATGAATATGGAAATAAACAGAAAAGCATCTAGGATGGGTCCAAGAAAGGCATCATGAGCAATGGCAGCGATGCCTTCAAGTACATCAGGGATGACGAGGGAAATGGGTTCTCATGGGAAAGACTGTAACAGCATGTCTAGTGTGCAGTAGCTGCAAATTCATGTAAATGGAGTCATCCACTAGGCAGTGAGGACCGGAGTTCCAGGAAACAACGAAGGCACAGATCTGAGAGATAAAAACAAGATACCGCAGCGGCAGTAAAAAGCCTTAAGATTGAATGGCATCACCCAGAAATGGTGTCTAAATAGGAAAGCAAAGCCAGACTGTTCAGTCTTTGCCAAAGTGACCCTGAAGGAGAAAGAAGTATATATAAAAAAAAATCATCAAAGGAAACAGAAAATACGTGACCAGAGAAATACAAGGCGTAGCAGGACAGAAATAGATTTATATAAACTAGAGAAGGCAGACGCTGCAAAAGCAGAGTGGTCAGTGGTGTCAGTGTTACAGACAAGTGGAATAAGGTCAAGGTTAACCACCATCCTCTGGCACCCGGAGTGCAAGCCAGCTGGAGGTGCTCTGTCTGCGGCACTCACATTGTTGGTAAAGAGCTCCAGTACGAAAGTGGCCACACTGCCATTGATGCCGATGAAGAGGTTCACACTGGTGAGGACCACGTAGGCAGTGCTGGGGATTTTGAACACGAAGGAGGCTGGGTACATGAGAGGTGTGATCGACCACCTGGGAAGGCACAAATGCAAACATCCATTGGAGTCTTCTGCCCTTCCTCGAGCAGTGGGTACCATATGCCCTGCCCACCGGGAGAACCCTCCACCCACAGCTGCCTTACCCATACAGCAAAAGCAGAAGGGCTAGGACAGGCAGGTTGGTGGAGGACACATAGGACTTCTGCTGGAAGCAGATGAAGATGATAATGACCAGTGTAGCAGGAACCACATAATTGCACTAGAAGAGAAAAGAAGAAAATAAAGTTGACCCCTAACACACATTCTAAGTCTTCACCATCATGGGACAAGAAAGGACAAATAAACATGTTGGAGAGTAACTCTGAATTAATGAAGCCACATAAACTATTAATCAAAATTCTGGACAATACAGTTTGACAAGCATTTTACCCTTGGCTGATTTTATAAACTGCATGCCCTTTCTGTCTTTCCTACAGCTAAGCCAAGGTGTCACGCTCAGTAAACTTACTGAAGGATGGATTCTCAGGCAGAGTCATTTCAATTTCACAGGAGGCAAATGAGCCTCCATTATTCTACCCAGAGATGATTGTGTCTGTTTCATCATTAATGTGTATTATGGTCTGCCCAAGTTCAATCTCACATGTAATCTATTTGTGAGATAAGCACTCATAACATGAATGTCAAAATTGTTTCATCACACCGAGAATAATTTTACAGTCTGTCCTGACAGTGCTTCAAGCATTAAAATGAAGAAATAAAGACTTGACCCAGGGACAATTATGAAAATTCATAGCTGACAGAGAGAAAGAGAAATGGGGGGGGCACAGGCACAGAAGTGATGGTGGGTTGGCAGATAATAGAAGAATGGCAGCTTCAGACCGCCCCAGTCCCATCCTACTCAATGTGTTCATCAACAACTCAAATAAGACACGCTTGCAGCGGATTCCGGGATCTCAGGCGGGAAGGACAGAAAATACATGAGAGCACAAGTGATGTCCCTGAGGTCAAGGACTTGCTCTTTCATCTCTGAATGACCTCTGCCTGGCACAGCCAGACACCTTCAGACATGCAGTAAGCCCTCGGTGTATTTTAAATGAAGGAACTGCTGGATCAGGAGAAAGCAAATGAATGCTGACAAGATGCAGTCTAACAGCAGTTACAAAAATGCTCAAGTTCAAAACAGTCGATTCTGTGCATTAGCATAGAATGAACAAGACCCCAATTAACAATAATTCAGACAAAATAGGTTTCAGTTTATTACCAAGTTGAAATAAGTCAGTGCTACTTCTAAGTGCCATACCCTGAGCTACAGTGAAAACTATGATATAAAGATTAGCTTTCTCTAGCCTCGTAACCATTCAGACCATGGCCTGAACACCAGGTTAATTCTGGGCTTGCCTTTTCAAAAGGAATATTAATAACTGGAGCATGGCCATGGAAGGGCAATCAGATCAGAAGAGTGACAGGTCTCAGAAACCTGGTGTAATTAGCATATGTAATCTCATTATCTCCATCATCATCACTCACATCTGTACAGCATCTTAGAGACCGTGTGTATTCTCATATATCATCTCGTCTGCGAGAATTTGTTAAATGAGAGTGGCCTTTAAACGTCTGAGGAAATGTGGGTTGGGAAAAGAATTAGATCTGCTTTGGGTAGCTTATAATTAATAAAGACTATAGGGGAATATAGCTCAAGCTCGTTAACCAATCACTGGAACTTCAGAGTCCTATGAAGCCCTTCATATTGATCCAAACAAAAACAATACAGTATAGCCAATACAAAAATACACTGCAATGGACGGACAAGATGCTGACACAGTCTGTGGAGTTTTCAGTGGCAAGTGGCTTCCTACTAAGGCAAAAAAAACCACCCTACTCTAAGTTAAAACCTATCAGGTAAGTTAGAGGCACTGGCTTGGGGGTTTTAATACAGTTCTTTCAGTTCTATTCTCACTTTTAGAGTGTGCCGGCTAGTCTTCTGTCAACTTGACACAAGCTAGAGTCATCTGAAAGGAGGAAACCTCAATTGATAAAATGCCTGTAGATGTAACAGTCTTATTAAAAAACAGTATCACCACAAATGCCCCCATAAGACCTGGCTGTAGGGCATTTTCTTAATTAGTGATTGATAGGGGAGGGTCCAGGCCATTGTGGGTGGGGCCATCCCTGGGCTTGTGGTCCTGGGTTCTATAAGAAAGTAGGCTGAGCAAGCCAGGAGGCAGTAAGCCAGTAAGCAGCATTCCTCCACGGCCTCTGCATCAGCCCCTGCCTCCAGATTCTAGCCCTGTTTGAGTTCCTGTCCTGACTTCCTTTGATGGTGAACTGTGATGTGGAAGTGTAAGCCAAATAAACCCTTTTCCCCCCAAGTTGCTTTGGTCATGGTGTTTCATCAGCAATAGTAACCCTAAGATAAAGGGTTATTTTTATATATGTGAATATCTGCATATATGTGTGCAGATGGCCACAGAGACCAGAACAGGGTGTCAAATCTTCTGGAGCCCAATGTGGTGCAGGGAAGTAAACTCAGGTTCTCTGCAAGAGCACAAATGCTCTTTTTTTTGTGTGTGAGAGTTTTCACATAAGAAATGTGAGGTGATAGTTGGTAGTGACTGTAGTCACAGTGGTCAGATGGTCCCACGATGTGCAATTAGTTTTATATATCTGGTATCCTGGAAGCATTCATCTGCTTCTCCTTTGTCCTATTTTATATTAGTTTAGACTAAATGGGGCACTTCCTAATGTTAGTGACAGGGTATTTTCTTCACCCCCCAGGAGTCTACAGTCCCCATTGAGATTCAGACAGAGACAGACAGCCCTGTGTCCTCACCATATCCCACACAAAATTGGAGAGCCAGTAGATGACAGGCTTCACCCCGCTGATGAACTGCAGGTGCTTCGCTTTGCTGACCCGCTCCTGGATCAGGAACACAACAAAGCTGGCTGGGACAAAGGACATCGCAAAGATGACACAAATAGACACAAGGACGTCGACAGATGTGGTCATCCTAGAAGAAAAGAGGCAGTAAAGATCAGAGGAACCTTTGATGCAGCTGGGGACATGGTAAACAATTAGACATAAACATAGCCAATGCGTGGAGGGACAAACACATGTTCAGCAAACATTCTGTCTCAGGATTCCCTCTAACTACATTCAAGTAACATTTAAAAAAAAAACCCAACAATTTAAATGTAAAACTTGTTTCCATAATGTTAAAATGAGTCTACTCCCATAACAAAAAAAATATGGGCGTGGTCTAATGGTGTTCACTTCTCTCCAGTTTCTAACCTTACAGAAGTGAGTTGAAAACTTCCATATACAGAAGTTAGTGTGGCTTGAGAAGTATTTCAAAAGAGCAAGCAATCTTATTAGGAAGCTACTCATACAAGATAGTCACATGGCTCTAAGTAAGTGGAAAACAATAGGATGCATATATCAGGCTACACATATAAAAAGTCATATATATCAGTCTAACACATACAAAAAACCCATTGTACAGAGTCTTGTAAAGATTAGTATTCTGCAGTAGTTATACAGTAATGTACCATTAACATTACACTAATACACTACAGTAGTTATACAATAATGTACCATTAATATTACATTAATACTCTACTGTAGTTACACAGTAATGTACCGCTCCCCACTTATGAGAGGGGAAGGTAATGTGCTGACTGCCAACTCTGTCCTGGGCGCTGGCTTTAGCAACTTATACAAATTACCTCATTTAATATTATATCCTAGAAAGCTTAGCACCAAATTCAAATCCAGATTCATTCACTCCAAAGATTCTACTGACCTCCAGATTCATGCACATGTACAGGAGCATACCCATGCATGTATGTGTGCCACTCTAACACACACATTTCAGGAAATAAACCATTAAATGCATATTTCACTGAATTAAAAAAAACTAATTTTCAAGCAAATGAAATATTAATGAGTTAATTACTTTAGGACTGTATTAACAATTTTTAATTCAGTTTATGTGTGTTCACCAAATGTCATAATTTTCACAGCTCTGATCTTCCTTCTTCAAGTCAAGAAAGACTGCCAGACGATCTGTAAAGCAATCATTTTCCGCCCAGACTCTGGATCGACCCAGGCTTACCCAATACAATTATCTCCAGCTGTTACGACCAGCTTTCCTCTGGTGCCTTCACACCCCTACCACCTCCACACCCAGCCATTTAGACACAAGACGCACTTACAGGGCCACCTCTGAGAGCTGCTGCTTGGTGAGATTCAGGGGATGGTTGAAAGCAGTAATCCCATACTGGCTTGGATTCTCTCCCTTCTGTAGGTTGGCCCGGAGAATGGCATTGTTGATGACATTCAGGAAAGAGCTGATAGCGTGCCAGCCCTTGTTATTGAACCACACCTGAAGGAAAACAGACCAACTTCAAGGTAATGTTGCCAAGCCATGCTCCCAGAAGTGAGAGTGTGTACGTAAAACATGCACAGAAACTGTGGACAGGAATTCCACTTAGTCACACCAAACAAAAAATATTACAGACGTAAGGATCCACTGACCACTGGCCATGGGACCGGCACTATATGAAGACCTTACACTTTCAACCAGTTACCCACACAGTGTTAAAGATCGCATGGTTACTGTCTGCCTGCTAACTAGGAAACTGACACTTAAACAGGTTAAGTAGCTTAAGGCACAGATCACATCAGTTCACATGTTAAGTTTGGGGGCAAAAAAAATTCTCTTAATCACTATACAGTATCATTTCCCTAGTAAGGTTAACAGTTTGCTCTTTTCTGCTAGGAATGTCCTTAGCAACTTGACCATGAGACTTCAAGGGACAGAAGACTATTGCTTAGTAAGAAGCTAGCAGAACACAGGCCAGAGCATACCTTGACATTGTTTTTGGTATCCAGTCCTGTCATGAACCTTCCCAAACTGCTGAGAAACCGATCTGCAGAACTGTCCTGTAAACAACAGAATCCTGCCTCAGTGGTGTTTGTTTGCACAGATAAGGGGCTATAGTAAGCAATCGGGCAGCCATGTGTAAACCAAGACCATCACCACTTCATTCACTGAAATTAAATCTAAAGTCACTGTATACAAGATTCCTGAGAACCACGTAACCAGAATCCACAGCACTAGAGTTGCCATGGTGCCACATCATAAAAGCATCACCAAAAAAAAAAAAAAAAAAAAAAAATCCCATAACTTAAACCTCCAAGATTCTGGGGCTGGAGAGATGCAGAGATGGATCAGAGGTTAAGAGTACCATCTGTTCTTCGAGAGGACTCAGGTTCAATTCTCAGAACCCAAGTGGGGGCTCACAACCATCTGTAACACCAGTCCCAAGGGAGCCAATGTTCTCTTCTGGACTCTGTGGGCACCAGGCATACACATGGCACAAAGACATGCATGTAAGTAAACCACCCATACACATAAGTAAAAATAAGGTATTAAATTTTCAAGACTCTTTAGTCTCTCAGCATCATCCCAGAACTAAAACCCACAGTACATGCAGATGCATCCTAGGGCTTAAAGGAAAGCTGCATATTTGTGGTGGTTTAAAAGAAAATGACCCCCAAATGGAGTGGCACTTTTAGAAGGTGTGGCCTTTTTGGAGTAGGTGTGGTCTTGTTAGAAGAAGTATGTCACTGTAGATGTGGCTTTGAGGTCTCATATAAGCTCAAGTCACACCAAATGGGACAGACCACTTCCTGTTGCCTGCTAGCCAAGATGTAGGACTCTCAGCTACTTCTCCAGCACCATGTCTGCCTGCATGCAACCATGCTGCATCATGATGATAATAGACTAAACTCTGAAAATGTAAGCCACCCCAATTAAATGTTTTTCCTTTATAAGAAGTATTGTGGTCATAGTGTCTCTTCACAACAATAGAAATCCTAACTAAGACAGTACTGTAGGCCTAGCACTACTATCCAAGACCCCAGAATCCATGTCACCTGACCAATTCATCTGTCACTTCAACTTGGGAAACCTGAGATAGAGAGAAATGAATGTGGGCTTAGCGGGTCTTGAAGACTAGCCCACCAGCCTAAAAAGTAAATTAATTCATTTTTCCTATTTCCAGTTTAGTCAATCAATGACTGTTTTAGAAAAGTGTCTGAAACCCAACTCATTTACCCACTGCCTAACTTCATGAACACGGCTGTTGTAAGAGTTTTTAATCTCTTGAGTTCATGTTTGACCTACACTTTCAGAAGTGTGTGCATGTGCATGTATGTGCGTGTTTGTGTTTGGTACGAGTAGTCTGGTCTATCTGAAACTGCTTTGTATACAAACATGTTCAGAACACTGAGTCCCTGCCATTACTCCCGTGTCCCAGCAGTTCCAGTGCCATTTTTCTGACATGTCTCAGGATGGATGCTGTACCTTGGTCAGCTTCAAGAGTTTCTTCACTTGCTTGATAGCATCATTTACTTCTTGACTCGGAGGAAGTGCTTGAGAATTACTGACGCCCAGGGAAAATCCACCATACCTAAATGAAAGGCTTGCCATTAAAACTCGGGTAGTGAGCCCAAGCTGATACTCAGCAGCAGACACCACAACACACAAGGTTCTTATTCAAACTAGGATCAAAGTTTGGCTAAGGACAGTAACATGTTGCCTCCTTTTGTGAAATGCAGCCATCTTAATTCTCAAGATTGCTGCCCAGCAGGGAGAGCCTGGAGCTAATGACACAGAGTAAGGCATCCACGTTACACACAGGACGTCAAGGCTAGTGGTGACAGGCACAGTCTTGAAAGCCAAGTAGGGACTACAGACAGGCCTTGTCTTCCCCAGTATGGGAACCACCATGTGGGTCTGTGACAGCTCTGCCCAGGGTTTCAGGGGCTCTGAACCCCGGAGAAAAGGCAGAGAGGAAAACTGGAACTCAAGAACAGAGCCTTTGAGGTCTCTTGAGCAGCCACATGGGCTACTCATTTTCCCACACTGCAAGCTGACTTTAAGAATGCTTCCTTCCCCACTTTCACATGCTCCTTCAAAATTCGGGGGGGGGGGGGGATATAGGTGGAAATACACTGGAAATAAATGGTTTGGATGCCTTTCATTTCCTCTGAGACCTTGTGTCATATGAAAGGCCTGAACAGTTTTTCCTTGAGTTCCTAGGCACCGTTGGGGATGTGTTTGGGGAAAATACAGCTAGGATAGGTTTTCCCCTCATGACATTTTACTTTCTTAAGTCTCTAGAGGACTGCAAGAGATTTCTGAATCTCCTTAAGGAAATCACTATGCCAGGTATTTCAGAGGCTTCCGGAGGGATGTACCATGAATAGTGCACTACCCAAATCCCACAGTGAGTCTACTACAACTCTGGCTGTAGCCTCTGCGTTCCACAGCCTGCAGCACCTTGTACCCTGCCCCCACGGTGACATAACACTAAGCGTGTGCCCAGGGCAAACCGTCCCCAAACCTACAACTTTGTCTTGATCCAAGACTCCTACATCAAAATCATTCTCCTGAGACTCAAGCTGACAGGGAAGATGGAAAGAAGGGATCAACTTACCGGAACTCATTCACCCAGATCTTGTTCTTTAAGCTGCAGAAAGAAAAGACAAACCAAAAATCAGGTCCAGAAAGCGCAGATCATATTGATGATGCAAAGGTAATCAATTATCTGCCTGAGGACGAAGTACAGAGACTCGAGCAATCCTATGACCAGCGTTGGCATGCCACACCCCCGTAAGGAAGGCCACTCTCATCATGTCCTGTCGGCTGTCCCTGAAACCTTACTCACGTGAGGATCACACAGTAAATTAACCAAATCTAAAATCCACCTTATAGGCAGGCATGGTGACACACGCCTTTAATCCCAGCATTCAGGAGGCAGAGGCAGGTGGATCTCGATGAGTTTGAGGTCAGCCTGGTCTACACAGAGAGAGTTGCAGGCCAGCCAGGACTACATAGTGAAACCCTGCCTAAAATTAATTAATTAATTAATTTCATTTGTAAATCCCAGGTGGAAAGTTGACAGCTCTGGGAAAAGCATGGTCTACTCACATTCTAGCACACCCTTGTCATTTAAAGTCACTTCAAGCAGGGACATGCCACCTGACCACATTGATAGGAAGGGAACACATTTTCTGAGCACTGACTAAACATTGGGCACTGTGCCGTCATGCCCCAGGCATCTACCAGTCTCTTTAAAGGCTCCATAGGCAAGAAAAGCTACTGTGTCTACCCTGACCTTGCTTCAGAACACCCCGTGTTTATGGAGCGACCCAGGAGAGAGGACCTAAAGCTCTTTGCTTACGTCATTTCACTTAGCTCTCCCAACAGTTAAGAATGTGACACTCATATCACATTTTACATAAGCTAAGACTTCACAAGACTCATGGGCTGAACCCGGTCAGGCAGCTACTGGGGGTCAGGATTCAAATCTGAGTGGACATTCATCATTTACTTTCATTCTAGAGCAGCAGCCTCCTCCCTCTCAGTTGAACTTTTAAGGGTCACAACACCCCACATCATCCTGTCTCAGTGATGTCATGTGCTAACTTTCCCACAGAACCCCCATCTTCCATTTCCCCACCACTCAAGCCTATATCCCTAGCCTTTGATTTCTCTGCTCAGCGATGGCAGGGAGCAAGCCGGGTTTCAACGGGAGATACCTTTTCGCTATGATCTGCACATACGTCTTCACCAGGTAATCGGAAATGTTTCTTCCCGTCAGGTTCTGAAGGATGTCTGCCGTGTTCTGTTTTCTCTGCCATCACATAGAAACCAAGCTCATGTGGCTTTACAGACAAGAACCAGGGCAGCAAACAGACGACAACAACAGGGACCCCGGGACCCAGGCAAGAGACTTAGCCACCCACCACCAAGACCTGGTCCACACTGCCATCAGCCCCTGTCAAGCCAAGAGTACCCCCAGGAAGTATTCTGGATATCGGGGTGGGACTCCCCACATCACCAGAATATTTAGGAAACAGCATGACAAAGTGCCCAGTGAATTCTTTTGTACTTTGGAGCTATGTTGGTGACTGGATCAGGTGATTTTAGGGTGGCAAGCAAGAGTTCTTTTAAGTTTGTACACCCACTAAAAATCACCCATCCCTACCCTCCAACCTGGATTCTGATGAAATAGCAGGGAGATATCACATTGAGCTGAAAATTTCAGGTTAAAAAAAGCAAAAAAGAACTCAGATCTCCCTCCCAAACTCAGAGCCCCAAAGAATGTCAGAGTTGAAAAGATACACCTAACTTTTGCAGTTCACTTCCTTATGCTGAAGTGAAAAAAAAAAAAAAAAAAAAAACTGGCCCAAGGAGGAAACACAGCCACCAGCTCAGCTGAGGCAGAAGCAGGGGAGGAAGCTGGCCCTGTGAGAACAGTGTGGCAGGCACGGGCACAATGTAGTTCAGACCCCTCTCTCACAGCCCACTCACGTTTCTCAAGTAAGATCAAGGCTGATGCACCTTGATCAGCATCAAGCATCACACCTCACTCATTCCTGCTGCCCCACAGATGCTCCCAGCCCCACCCCGAGCCACTTCTCAGTCACACCGACAGAGACTCACCTGAGGAGGCGGCAGGCCCCCGGCCCCCGGGGGACACACAGGCAGCATCTTCTTGATTTTGTCACTGCTACACTGGCAGGCAGGTGAGGGGTTCTTCATCGTCCAGTTCCCATTTTGAAAGAGATCCACGATGGTCTGGGGGACTGGGGCAGTGGTCCAGTCCTCCTCCCCCACCAAGCAAGGGGTATCTCTGTAAAAGGAGACACCAAGGGTTGTAGGCTCCCCTGCAAGGGGCCTGAGTTGCCCTGCTGCCTTGAGAGCACAGGTTTGCTCTTCAGTAAGGGCCCATGTGCTCAGCCCTACCATCTGAAACAAGACTACGACTTCATTATATTTGCTCTCACGGCATCCTGGGAAGCTGGGGAGCGACAGAAGGCACGGGCAATACAACATCAACAGGCTCCAGATGCTCACTGAGTGAGCTCTGTTCAACCCAGCTGACCAACATCTGTTGGCACAGCACACGTGATGTGTCCACTATGAGCGACACAGAGTTCTGCATCTTTGAGAGTCTGGTGTAAGCAATCCAAACTCTTTGCTTTCACGGATTCTGCAAGACCAGAAAGTGTTGGACAACAAATCAAGAAATCCAGTTTTACACAGTCCCCGATAAAGCAAAAACAACAGGAGAGGACGTGAAGAAAACAGATCGTTGATGCTAAAGACACAACGTCAGCCAAAACACAAACAATAAGCTAGTTACAGAATTGGGGTGACGAGCTGGCGAGATGGCTCAGTAGGTACAGGTACCTACAGCCAAACCTGAGTTCAATCCGTAGGCCCCATGTGGTAGAAAGAAAGGACCAACTCCCACAAGTTACACTCTGACCTCTACCCATGTTACCATGGCATGCATGCAGACACTAAAATAAATAAATGTAATTTAAAAAGAATTGGGGAGAATGAATACTCCATGCAGAAGCAGTGGGAAGTCGGGTACAAAGGTCCTGTGAAGAAATGAGTCTATTGGACATAGATGATGAACAACAGGAAGATGGTGTGAGGAGATGTAAGACAGGCTGATGAATGAGGAGGGAGGGAGGCAGGAGCCATGTGACAGGGATAGGTAGGAGCTTGAATTTGATGTTCAGCATGCTGGAATCTTGTAGAGAATGGCAAAATCCAATTTATGTTCTACAATGAGTAGAACATTGGGCTGAGTGGAGTAGGAATGCTCTATGGATGGGCAGTGAGGTTGGCTACAAGCATCCTCAGAGACAAGGCAAGGCCCTAATCTCTGCCTAGAGCACTGATTGTTTGGCACGCATCACCAGTCTCTTGCATCTTAGGGTTCATTTTTTTCCTACTGGTAAAATAAGGGTATAAAAGGACTTGTCATCTCTAGTCTTTCTTCTAGATTTCCAATTTTCAAGATTCTACAATTTAAAATAGAGTTACAATCTATCTCGTGTGTGTGTATGTATGTGTGTGTGTGTGTGTGTGTGTGTGTGTGTGTGTGTGTGTACACGCGTGTGTGTTTATAAATATGCCCACAAGTGAACAGTTTTTCCAAATGATTTATCATTTCCTCTTTTAGGGCTCTTAACTACGACATCTATCATCTCACACATGAGACCATTAAAAGGCCGAGACACACAAAAGACCATTGAAAAAGCATTCTACTCAGATCTCCTTCCGTCCTAACACTTTCCAAAAACCTAAAATTTAAATTTCAGTGTGAGCTGGCAGGGTGAAGCCCTTCTTTCAGACTGCTTCAGAGAGTCTATGGTGCTCGGACAGCACAGCAACCCTCTGAGGCCATGGGCATTTCTTTTATCTCTGTAGGCCAGCTGTCTGATCAATTCTCTCTCCTACAGATACAGCCTCTGCTGGAATCAATTCATGAATCCACACAGTGGTTCAGTTTACCAGCAAAGGATCCAGCTAACCACATCATTACCTCACCTCATCCTTTCTTCCAACAAAATCTTCACATAGAATCCCAAAGGTATTGTGAATTCAAGAAGAATCTGTGGCCTTCTCCACCCTTAGCATCTTTTTAGTTGTAACCAATATTGGCTGCTGGGTTTACCAGTCAGTCAGAACTAACTATGAAGTACCAAGACTATTTAGTAACTATCTGCTATGGTTTGAGTCTTCGATGTCTTCCAAAGGCTCATATGTTATAAAGGCTTGGCCCTCAGATTGTGGTGCTATTGGAAGTTAGCAGAGCCTTTAAGTCACAGGGCCCAAAAGAAAGAAGTGAGGTCATTGGGAAGACATATTAAAAGAAAAGATTGGGGCCCAGCCCATCCTTCCCTCCTTTTGCTTCCTGGCTTGGTTTCTATGATGTGAGCAGCTGTGTGCCACACGCAGTGCCCACCATGATGCTCTATCCCACCAGAGCCCCCAAAGGCCCCAAAACAACATAGCCAATCAACCATGGACTAAAAACTCTGAACCCACAAATCATCAATAAATCTTTGCTCCTTTGAAGTTGGTTTTCTCATGACAGAACACTGTCTCACATATCATCTAACACTGTGGTGGTTTGACTGAGAATGGCCCCATGGGCTCTCGTGTTTGAATATTTGATTCCCCAATTGGCAGAACTATTTGGGAAGGATTAGGAGGTATGGCCTTGCTGGAGGAGGTGTGTCATTGGGGGAGGGCTTTCAGATTTCAAAAGATTCATGCCATTCAAAAGACTTCCTATTTGTGGATGAGGATATGAACTCTCAACTGCTGCTCCTGCATACCCTTGCCTGCTTACAGCTCTCCTCACTATGGTAGTCACAGACTCCTTTATTCTTCTGGAACTGAAAGCCCACCCCCCAAATCCCTTCCTACCATAAATTGTTTTAATCATGGTGTTTTATCACAGCAACAGAAAAGTCACTAAGACAAATACTATTTAAGAGCTGACAAATACCCAGAAACCATTCATCTGGAAATCTGCTGGGTCTTGCATACATAGCCATCATGTTCAGTGCTCTGACACAAGATTGCTAGCTTCCCCTTTGTGGCTTGGGATTCAAATTTCCTTTCTCTAGTTCTCTAGTGCCTTACCAACTCTCCCGGTTCCTTAGCTATCACTGTGTGTGGCTCTATGACCCCAGGCACAAATTCTGTTTGGCCCTGCAAACTTGAAGTTACCTCCACCAGCCCCAGCCCTCTCCCCATCACCTCTCCACTGGCTTCAACACAGCATCCTCATGATTTGCTTCTTCTATACACACAGCTAACTGGGCATACCACTGAGTTTATTTACCCACTATTCAAAACTTGTCCTGAACGTCTGATAAAAACATGCAGCTGTACAAAACGCAAGTGTCTGCTGTTATAAAAAAAAAAATCACTATGTCATCTTTTCAGGTTAAAAGGAAGAAACTGATAAGCAAAGCTATAAACTGCACACTCCGCCCGTCTACTCTGGTACTCAACTTTCCCGCTGTAGAAGAGTAAACAAATGTTGGTGATGATTTGTTATGAAGGATGTTAGGAGATTCTATTTGTTCCTAAGTTCTCAGGTTATTCCGTGGCCTTTTAAAATAAAAACTGACGAAAAGGCAAAATGATGATGGTGACCATGTAGCAGGCAATAGCATCAGAAGGAAAACTAGGCCAGCTTGTGGCTGAAGTGTTACTCACGGGATTGGGTTTCCTTCCATACATCGGGTCCCAAAGCCTGGGTCTTTGGTTAGAGCATTCAGGAGTTCCTGGGTGCCTGTGTCCTCTGGAGCGTCATTACTGCAGGTACATGAGAGACATGCAGATCAGTAGTCCATCCAATGAAGCATTTGAAAGTAGGAAAAATTTTCTACAGAAAAATCTCTACTAAGCACTTCTCAGGGAACAGGCTTTTAAAACTAAAACAAATAAAACACAGAAGCCACCTGCAAGGAACTTCATACATATGACATCAGGGTAACATACGGTACCTCCAAGGAAGCATGTACAAAGAGGTTACATATGAATGTGTGTGTGTATACACACACACACACACACACACACACACACACACACACACGCACTTCATTACTGATCAGTATTTCAAAACTACTTTGAAAATTATCCATTTGACACAAACAGCCAGGGCCTTCCAAAAACAGAAAGGTAAAATTTACTGATTATTTGTATGAACAATTAGAAAGTCCAAGAAATAATGGGTCTATGTCACAAACCCATGCCATGATCTATAGCTATGGGCAATACTAGGTCATTAATTAGAAAGGGATCAAACACATTTTTAACCATAGAAAATGAAAGTGAGCTGGAGAAAAAGAGACTAATTCATTATTTATATATGATACATACATATCGTACACACACACACACACACACACACACACACACACACACACACACGCACACACACACACCCCAGAAAGAGACAGAGTGCCTTTTTAAACCCCTTTGAAACTTCCCTCTATACACAGACACTGTCCTCTACAGACCTACCAGTGCAGTAGAACTGAAGAAAACCCGTAGTAAACAAGGTCTAGAAAGTCCCTATCTTCTTGTTTTTTTCAATAGGCTCACTATGGAGGAGCAAGCATCCTCGTCTAAAGATGCACACTTAGCTAATACCCTAAACTTGAAGGATTTAGTGATTACTGAGCTAAAACACATTTGGTCACTCCTGACAACAACAGTCTAACACACAGGATGAAATACGCAACACAGCTCCGCCTGTTTTCTCAGGAATCATTTACTACGTTCTTTGCTGCGTTTGTGGCTCTGTAGGAGCCTGGACCATCATGAGAAAACCCATCCCACTGTGGAACTGTGGACTCTTGACTCCTCAGCTCTCGGTACAGCAAACACTGCGTGAACCCGTGTGTCTGTGTGAACCCGCCTCTGACCCGAGGCACAGAACACAAGCACGTACCTGACAAATGTATACTGCTCATTGTACATCCAGGGCTGGAGTTCCAGGCTGGGGTACTTGCCAAAGGGTGGCACGATCAGGCTGAACACCAGGGCAATGCAAACGAAGACAGCCGGCAGGACAATCTACAAACAGGCATTGGAGGGGGAGGGACCACAGGAAAACGGTTAGAAGTCTAGGGCCAAAACCCCTGAGAATCCAGCCAGCGCCCCCGACTAGCAACATAGGAATGAGGGGTACAGGCAAGGCCCATGGCTGAATTCTACCAATGTAATTTTGGCAGCGCTAGGTAAAGGAGTCTGAAAATGAATCCTTTTCCTCCCAAGGCATCTCCTGAAGCTGAAACAGCACAAAATTGAAGGCTATGGTCACTGAGTCAAGAGTCAGAGTGACTCAATGTTAAGCCCCACCCTTTGTGCCTCTAAAGACTGAGAAAAACCAGTCTGGGTCATAGACTCAGGTAGAAGGCTGAGAGACACAGCCCTGGACCAGGCTACAGAAGACCTGAATCCTGGTTCTGTCTGTACTACAGGGGGTCCCATGTGACATCTGTAAATCTGAGGACTGAGAACAAGGAACCAGCTCTATAGTAGTGCCCTCTCCTACCAGAAGTAGTGGCAGTCACTGTCTCTCCTATGTGCACCATGAAAAAGCATACTTCTTTAAATCCTTCCTTGAAATTCCCCAAACTTTATATATCCTTCTTCTGAAAACAACTTAAGATCCAACCAAAAGATCTTTGCATTCATTTCTGAGAAATTTACCCTTTAAAACTCCAGTGATTTAATGGTAACCCTGGCTGTGAGGGTAGCTCAGTAGTAGGGAACTTTTCTAGTATGTGCACATTCCTGGACTCCATCCCCAGTGCCGTAAGAAATCAAACGATAACTCTGGTTTTACTATTCCTGGGTTTCAATATAGAAAATTATCACTGAATGAATAATTCCACTGGAAAGTACTGTAGTGAGAATTAGCCTTTTTAATATCCTATTTTGTGGTTATTTATGGTGTTACTATCACCATCCACAAACGAGAGCTTTATGAATCAGAGAAAAGTCAGTCAGTGATCAATGGAAATCCGGGTCTGCAGTCTTCAAACCCATGCTCTAAATTAGTGCTGCCAAGGTGACCTGCAGGGAAAACTCTACGGACATGTTCTCTATAGTTCTTCATATTATAAGTGAAAACAAATGTATTCCACTCCAACTGATCAAGTCACCATGCAAACAAACCATGGCATGCAGGATCTGTGTGCCAGCTCTATTCTTAGCACTCTGGTATCCTTCACAGCAGTTAGCCATAATTAAAGAAAAAACACTGGATTTCTAATAGTAAGTGCACTGTCAAGTACATCTCAGCATAGCAGCTCTTGTGTTATGAGAGTCAAATTTGCCCAACCAGTTTTTCTAAAACTGTATCACCTTTTATGGTCTCCTCTAAATGACCCCCCAGATCAAACTCCATTATAAATAAATTCATTTTATTCTGCTAACAATCACATATCAGGCCTCATTTCCAGATGAAGAAATTGAAGCTCAAGGAAATCACTGGCTGGCAGATGAACAAATAGCAAGAAGCAGAACTAGTATGGACATAGAGTTAATCGGGTCCCACTATCTACACCTCGGCCACAGTCCTACCCCACCTTCACTGGTCCATGAAGGCAGACACCAGCACATCTCACCTGAGCAAAGAACCCCTTCCTGCTCCGTCTGGCTATCAGCAGCCTTTTCCACAAAAGGGCCACAAACTGTTGTTGGGTGAGTTTCCAGCCTTTCAGCTGGTAGGAGCCTTTGCCATCCATCCCACTGAGCAGGTCTGTCTCCCTGGATTCTGTGAGAGAAAATAAAGAGGGTCACCTACAATCTTACCTATATAGGACTGATCTTGGCAACTAGAATTTGCAGCTTTCAGTGTATCACCAAAGAAAAGGGTTTTCATGAAAAAGCCACATTTAAGAAGAAGTTCTAGCTCAAAGTTATAGTCCTCAACGAATATGTTCAGTCCTCATCTGAGGAGCACAGAAAAATGAAGGTGTCTTGAGGCAAGCAAAGATGTGCTCACAAATAACAGAGTGGCAAGCTCTTCCGATGGAACAGGTCATCATTTAATTCTTATATTCAATGAAGTGGTCATGTAGACTGACACACACTGTAATTAGTCTCCTATCTTTTATATGCTTGATAAAAAGTGGACAAATTGAAAACATCCAAGTCCTGACAATGAAACATGAAATAAGAACAAAAAGCCAGAACTATTTAGCCAGACAGGAGAACCAGGTTACTACCTGCTCCTAAAAATAGTTTATCCTTGTCTGAAACTAATGACTCCTGAGACACTTAGTCTACAAATTTGTTTCATTTCATCTCTATCTCAAACATATATGGACACAGTCATCCAAAGTATGTATGTTTAAGAACACAACCTCCCCCTCTGATTCCTTCAAAGTCAACTGTCCATTCAGTAATTTTCATTCAATGACTCAAACACCCAAGGTGTGCAAGAAACTGGAACCCTACAGAAATGACAAGGAGGAAATGGGCTCAGAGAATGGAGGCCATCTTCCCATACCCATCTATGAAAATGTTCTATTGCATGCAGTGATGATGGTGGGCTTCTTCAGGTTTGACCAGACATGCCACATTGAAAAGGGGCTATCTCAGTTTTTTTTTCCACTTTTCTTTGGATCCTGTTGGGATCTGTGATCCTAGCCAAGAGCCATCAAAGACATAGCCGAGAAACAGATAAAAGACAAATTCAAGTTCAAACAACAGAACAAAGATCTTGCCCGTTCGAACCTGGGTCTATGTCAGAGTCATTTGGATCAATAGCATCGTCTTCAGTAAACGGGCGCAGACAGCTCTGCTTGTCCCCGAAGGCCCGTCTGTTTCGTCTCGCTGGCAAAGTGCCATCTAGAGGGAAAAGGGAGGAATCCCACAGTTTGTTTGTGTAACACAACAAACCTTCCCACAGCAAACGCATATGCTGAGAACGAGACTGCACCAGACTGATGCAGAGGGAAGGGTGAAAACAGGGGAGAGACAGCTTCAACACCCCGCAGAAAGCCTACCCCGAGAGTGTGCAGCCCACTCAGCCGGGTTACCTGAGGTCTCTGCATCCACCCCACTCTCTTCAGCCACTTTGAGGAATATCTGAAAAATCAGAGCAGAAGACAATGTGAGCACCTACTTCATGAAAGAACTTATCACTTCAGATCACATTAAGGAATCCCACATCAGGCCCTTAAGACAAAGAAGGTGGAGGTCACATTTATCAACAACAATTTTATCAGAGCCACTTCTGAGAGAAGCTGTCCAGGGCAGAAAACATGCCTTCAGGTGTGATAGCTCTCGATGCAGACAATTCTTCCCAAAATCAAACAACATTACATGACAGAAGTTTGTTCTGAACCTATAGAGAATGAGGCACGTCACTTTTATCAGGTCTGTGGTTCCAGACCTCTGAGCAGGACCACATTGTGATGACTTATCCAAGACATGATGGCCAAAAGGGAATGGGTTCCTTTTCCTACAGAAATAAACACTAGAGCAGAGGAAATGAATGAGGTCATTGATTTCCAAAACCTGTCTACAGACCATTCTGCAGGAAGCATGCAACAGAAGTACAAAGTCATGCGTGTCTCCAGAAATCCTGATTCAAAGGCACAGACAGGAGCTTTTGAAACTTCACTGTCAGCATAGATGAGTTTGCTGCACAATCACCCCAGGTGCCAGCCAAGCTGGACAATGTTCACACCCCTTCCAGGCCTCGAGGCTTGTGACCTCACATCTCTAAAGAGAAGCATTGCTAGATAGCAAAGGTCATCTGAGCTATGAAGCTCCAAACCCCTGATTCGTAATCCCAGATCAATGTCCTTCACTATTAATTCTCATCCTGCTATGATCATGAAATGAGCTTTCAATGTTTAAAACCAAACACCACCAGTGGTCTGACATTGGTTTGTTGACCACATACCAGGCATGCCCACACCCAGAAAGTCTGCTAATGCAAATGGATCCCATGGGCTTTTTTTTTCCCCAGAGAGAGAATATGAAGTTGGATGGGTAGAGAGGTAGGGAGGGGGTCTAGAAGGAATTGGAAAGGTAGAATTAATATGTCTAAAATATATTATATTCTCAAGGAGTAAGTAAAAACTTCATTTAAAAAAATAAAGTACAAACAATAAAATAAAAGAGGCCATGAATTTGAAGGAGAGCAGAGAGAAATATAGGGGAAGATTTGGAGGGAGGAAAAGGAAGGGAGAAACACTGTAAGTAAATTACAATCTCAAAAATTAAAAAAAAAATCATCAAGTTCAGCACCTGGCTCCAGTGGACTGTCCATAAATATTAGTCATTTACTATATATGAGTGTTGACACTAGGCCACAACACTATTCACACCAGGCAGCAATCCTAATACCTCTATACTCTGCTATCTCCCACTATACTCTGAAATATTTCACTGGGGCTAGCATTACCCAAATGTCAGTGACTTAAAATCTTGGTAATCAACGCTATAGCAATCTCATTCCCACATAGGCTGCCTCTCTGGCCTTGGGATTGTTGGGTCTTTGTACACTGACAGCCATGGAGCTTACTTCTTCTAGGGTGGTCTCTGAGATGCCGTAACTGGAGATGCCCAAGTCTGAGAGCCGATCATCAATCTCGTGGAAGAGTTCCACGAAAGCTCCCTCCTTAGCAGCTTCATACGGCAGCACGTAAGTCAGTTCATGGCCAATGTCTTCCACCAGCCGGGCTTCAGATACATGCTTCCTGATGAGGTTGGAGATGGCAGAGACATCTGCGGGGACCAGAGTGTGAAGGTGCTCAGTCATCTCAGATACTCCACAGCAAGAGCTGGCAGTCCATCATACCGTCTCTCTTTGCCAAAGCACTACTTACACACCGTCTGTCCTAAGATACCAAAACCTACTGGCCTTTTCATCTCTGGCCTGAAAACTCCAAAAGAGCAAAGACTGCCTCTAAAAGACTACCCTTATGTCATCAAAGCTAGCTGCACTTGTAGGTTCTAGGTATATGATGGGTAGATGATTTGCTAAGACTGAAACCTTGTGTCTAATGTGTATGTACCAGAACTCTTTGATGGGAGAGGAGCTTGGAAACCTTAAAGTGCTCAGCCCTTCTGTAAACTTTGAGATAATGCTATTCTTCATTTACCTCCAAAGATGGATTATCAGTTTGTGGGAGCAGAAATCTTCCTGCATAAAGCCAGCTGTTGGGGCTGGGTAGAGACAGCCAGCTCGACATTTTTATTCCATATGCCACTGGCGATACTGGCTTCTCCTAGGCACTGCTCAAAGGAAATTAAAATACTACTCCTCATCTCCTAGGCTCTCATTCTTGTATGCTGAATTCAACTCCCTTCCTGCTGGCTTGGCCCTCCAACATCACATCCAGGAGCCACTCCCCCCAAGGCATTCCCCAGACTCCCAGTCACATCTGTCCTCTGGGATACTGCCCTTCCAGCCCCAAGACCAAACCCCATGCTCCCCAGCAAGCGTTAGGCCAAGCCACCACCAAGCTGCATTCACTCCCTCGGCCACCCGGACCAGCCCAGCCCAGCAGCAAACCTTGAGTCAGCGCCACCAGCCTCTGCACCTCTCCTCCTCTGCCTCCACTCTGCCCAGCTGCGGGGAGCTCAGGCACCACCTGAATAAGAAACCCCAGAGTCCTTACCGATGGTCAGCGTGTCACTTTCATGGTCGCTGCCCAGGCCAGCATCAGAACTGCTCTGAGAAACACTGTCCTCCTGATGGCAAAGAAGGAGGTGAGAACGGGTCAGGGCTCGAGCCGGGTATAGACACCACCACCTTTGATGGAGAGGGCATCCAGGAAGTTCTACTGAATATATATAAAGCCAGAGCAGAAAGCTTGTTCTGGGAAGTATGCAGCTGGCACCCATGGCTTCAGAGGCCACTGCACCCCCGTGTGTGTGTGTGTGTGTGTGTGTGTGTGTGTGTGTGTGTGTGTGTGTGTGTGTGTGTGTGTGTTTTCTATGTGGATGGCCTCACTGCCTGGGGTGAGAGAGGTCAGCAAAGTGAGTGACTGTCAACAGAACTGTGGCCTGAGATCAATGCTGCCTTGGGACATTTGCCAACAAGTCCCAGCATGGGATTGACCTCACTGCTTTTCTAGTTTAATGCTTTCCAGATGGTAATATGCACTCAGTTACTCCGGTACCTTATTAACATGCAGATATGGATTCAGTGGGTCTGAACTGGGCCCAAGTCACCACGTTTCCAACAAATTCCCAATTGGGCCTGATGTTGCCAGTCCTCAGACCACACTTGAATAAGGAGGCTCCAGTTAGAAGGGAATAAGTAGACAGGAGTTCAAAGCTGGGGGCAGGGGGCAGGTAGGTGGTATGGTTTGACCACACAAATAAATGTCAGACATGTAAAAGACAAGCAAACAGAGATCCAGGGTTCTGGTCCCAGTGGTGATGTACTTGATGGGAGACCTTGAATACACTACAAATCCCTACAATCCTCACTTCCTTCATCTGAGACTATAAACATAATACCGTCTTCCCTGGGTCGTATTACACTTTGAGATGAAAAAATGTAAAAAATATTATAAACAGAACAAAAATGGTCTATCACCATTACTTTCTTTTAAACCCACAGGTAGTACACGGGGTAAAGCCGCATATAATAAATATTTGATGTTTCACGGTTTCAAAGTGAAGGTCGATGAGATTTAAAGGCAGTAAGCAGGAATGGCGAGGATTTTGTGGCTAAGGCTCTTCTTCCCTCTTGCCAAGTCTCTTTTCTTGGATAGAATAAAGCCCTCAAAGGACTTTCTCCATCACTCAGGGCCCTTTAGAAGGGAAATAAAATGGGCTGGAATGGAACTAGCATGGTTGGAACAGAGGTCTCTTAGGCCTTCCACACAGAGGCTGTGATGAACTACAACAGGCCCTCAAAGCAAGGGGAATGTCGCCCCATCTTCACAACCCGGGGCGTGGGTGTACAAGCCATCTAAGCCAACAAGCCCTGGCTGCCTAGTCCCCACAACCAGCCCAGCCCCAAGACTGCTGCTCACCTTCTTCAGACATGACACAGTGCTGCTGCTGTTTCTGCAGGAACTGAGAGACGATTCCACGTCTTTCTTGACCAAGGTCAGGTAGTAACCGGTTCCCAGCTGGTTTTTCAGAAACAGGGAGGAGCCCACACAGCACAGCTTCCCGTGGGAAATGATGGCAATTCGGTCCCCCAGGATGTCTGCTTCATCCATGTGGTGTGTAGACAGAATAATGGTGCGGCCTGCCAGGCACAAACACAAGCAGATGTGACAGTGGGACCTGTCAATTCTCATTGACCAGAGTGGCAGGGACAACAGAGATGTCACATATGAGAAAGACCAGGGGAAGTCTTTAACCTCCATAGACATGACTCCAGGATGGCAAATCTTGGGGGACAGCTGTTGCATTGTTACAGAAAGGAGGGCAGTATTTATCTGGTAACCTGCTCCAGGGAGTGGGCTAAGAGGTTTATAGGCATTCCCAATAGTCAGGGCCAAAATGAACAACAACCCAGCCTCTATACTCATAATCTGAGACTACAGTGCCACGTAACTCTGCCCTTTCTGCTTTTCTAAATAATAAACATAAGCTTTAAGTATCTTGCAAATCAGGCCTCCTCCCTCACACAGGAGAGGCACTGAGTATGAAGGCTCCACACTTTTCTTGAGCAGCAATTCTGTTACCCTAACAAAAAACAGCCACAATTCTCAAGAGCCATCCTCTACCCCAGGTCATAACTTGAAATAAGTAACAACATGTACCTTGTCGATATTTCAGCAGGAGCTCCCATATTCCCCTGCGAGAGTAAGGGTCCACACCTGCTGTGGGCTCATCCAGAATGACGACCTTGGATCCACCCACAAAAGCCAAGGCCACAGACAGCTTCCTCTGCATCCCACCTACAGGACAGAGCAATGAACAACTTCAAATGGTGAGTGGAGGTGGAAGTGGTGAGAGATGACTGGAGGTGCCCCCTGGAGACAGAGGGGGACAGGCCTCTGTGACCAACCACCCAGTCTCGGACTCTGGGGTGTTTTTCTGGAGGAGGAACGAACGGAAGATGGAGAAGGCCGGTCCTGGGACTCACCTGAGAGCTGGCTTGTTTTGCTTTTCAGTTTGCTGGGGGGTAGGCCAACATCCAGGGCCATCTGTTCCATCTCTGCTTTCACATGCTTCTCCGAGAGCCCCTTCAGGCGGGCGTAGAACCAAATGTGTTCTTCGACTGTCAGCCTAGGGGGGGAGAGAGGGGCAGGTCAGTTCTGGGCTCTGCAGGATGGATGCACCTGGACTCATTTTTCTTCTCTTCCGCATCGTTCTTGCCTTTGAAAAATAATCCGTTTCTAAAAAAGGTAACCAGAAGGAAGAATTTAGGGTACTCAAATAATGAGCCACAATAGGAGCTTCTTGGGATATGAAAGCTGAAATATAATGGATCGTTTCCCTGCAGGCCTGGTCACAGGGCTTCAGACAGTTAAAACTTTAAATTCCAGGTTTTCAGATAGTTCTCACATCACTGTTCTATTCACCAAGTTGGCTCAGCATTCACTCAGAGTCAATGAACCTCAATGGGTCTCAAGCCCTAAGTCTAAGGATAGGGAGGCCCAGAAGCCCAAGTTACTGAATTTAGATAAGAGAACACTAAGACAACTTCACCTCCTTTTTACCCTGAAATCAAAAAGCAACTTGGTCACCGTGGCCCAGGAGAGATAAGACCCACCACCCTGCACCCAAAGAAGGGGAATTCTTTAGTACCACTATACTCAGAACACCATGACTCCCAGGTCACAAACGGGGCAGGGGAGGCACTGGCTCCTCTCTGTATGCTTCTGCTACTCACATGTCAAACAACACGTTATGCTGAGGACAGACTCCCAGGTTCTGCCGGATGGAGCTCATTTCGGAGCGAATGTCCTTCCCCAGGATGTAGGCAGTGCCGGAAGTTGGGGGGAACAACCCAGTGAGTATCGACCTGAGGAGAAGAGTAACAAATTCAAGAATCAGGCAGACCCAGCATCACCTCTCAGTGCTGCAGAGCCAGGGCAGGGAGAGCAGATCATACCGTGGACACTCTATTCCTTCCGATTGGAATCTAGTAGATGCCCAGAGACTGAAAAGGCCATTTGCTTTAGTGAACAGCTGAGCACAAGCCTGTATCTTAGAAATGGAAGTTCTGGTAAGAGCACCTGAAAAACTATCCTCCTAATTTATAACAGGATGTGCTCTTTAGAACATATTTTATATGCTTAACATCTTGTACATGAAAAATCAAGAACATACTATTAAAAGATAGAAATGTTTGTGTTTCGTGGTAGAATTTCTAAGTGTCTTCGTCATGATCATAAAGTACTGGTTTTATGTTGAATAACAGTGAAAATTGGTCACCCCCAAAGATCAAACTCTGGAATGGGGTGGGGGGTAGTGGGCACACTATAAACTATAATTAACTGGTATTCTCTAGCACTTTCTTGGTCCTCACAGGTCCCAAAGAAAGGAGAAGGAGAAAGCTACCCTTCTCTCATCTGCTTAGAGATAGACTTCCTGGAAATATCCTTCTTTCTCTAACCTGTTTGATCTTTATTTCCTTCCAGTCTCTTGCTTCGCAGCTCTAAACCAACTCACTCAGAAACAGACCACCTCAAACTCTAAGAAAGTCAAGGAATTCTGAGCAATGCATGGGAAAGGTCATCAAAAGGTCCCTGCCTGTTTTAGGCTACAAGAAAAACACCTAGAAAAATCTACACCTCAGAAAGCATGCTTATGATTAGGTGAGACATTTCCTCCCATCATGCTCCACTCTTAGCCCAGTGACCAATTCAATTTCCTTAGTTCTGCATTTCTAAGCAGGGGTTTCCCGTGGCAGATCTTGTGGGAGCCACACCCTCTTCTTACATGGTGGTGGTTTTCCCTGCTCCATTGTGACCCAGGAAGGAGGTGATCTGGCCCTCATAAAAATTTAGCGCCAAGCCATCCACAGCCACCTTCATGCCATCTCGGTAAACCTTCACCAGGTTCTGAATGGACACACCCAGCCTCAGGTGAGTGGGTTCTTCTTCCATGCAGACTGTGACAAAAGAAAAGAGACAGAGGTGACCCGACAGGAAATACTGACCTGACCAGCAGAGTGTATAAATACGAAAGTTATGTGCTTAGATCTTGAGAGCTAGCCTCTTTCCATGATCAACCTTTAATGTTGCAGACAAACAGAAGAAAAGTAATTTAAGCCCTTTGGGACATGTGTGCTGATATCAGGGATGTGCTTATAATGGAACACTAGTCTGTTCATGAAAAAGTGCTGCACAAACAATTACAATACAAGATGCCAACTGTCATTTAAAAAACATATCTAAAGGTGTCATGAATGCTCCTACCAGACTCAGCAAGGAAAAGCAATAAACTATAAAAATACATCACAATTTGAATGGATCTCAAAAGAATTATACTGTGGAAAAGATCTACTATCAAAAAAAATTGCCTATTATCCAGTTCCATTTCCAAAATATTCAGAAAATAACAAAATTGCAAGAATTACGAACAGATGAGTGACGAGATAATACATGATACATGATAAAATTTCCCAGATCAAACAAAATGAGTGTGGAATAAGGAATCTAATGGTCTGTGAACTGTACCAATGCCAGTTTTAAACTATACTTCAGTTTTAGGTTTGGGAACTACACTTTAGTTATGCATGGTGTTACTAGGTTGGGGGAATCCATGATGAGTAAGTACAAAGGAGCCTCCTCATACACTTGTCAGGCAGCTCCTTGTGAATCTGTTACTCTAAACCAAGCAGAGTCCTTTGTGTGATTGGGTGGTTGTTCAGGGGAGGGAGCAACTGACTGCTGAGAATCAACACAGGCAGCTCTGGGAAGCAGATGCTGAGCCAGGCTGAGGAGCAAGAAAGGAAGAGTCTGGAAGGCAGGCAAGTGGGAGAAAAGGCAGCACTGGAGGAGGAAACACTGGAGACAAAGGTCTGGATGTGTGGACGGACATAACATAGTCCAGCCCACACAGTGAGAGGTACTGAGGGAGAAGAATGGGAAAGTAGCAGGACAGTGCATGTGGGCGTCACACTAAGGACACCATACTTCTTTAACCTTTGGAGAGCCAAAGAAGGGCACAAAAGAGAGACCTACTGACAGCACAGGAAGGGAGCGGGTCTACTGACAGTGTGAAGGAAGCAGGTCTACTGACAGTGTGAAGGAAGCAGGTCTACTGACAGTGTGAAGGGAGCGGGTCTACAGACAGACAGTGTAGAAGGAAGCGGGTCTACTGACAGACAGTGTAGAAGGAAGCAGGTCTACTGACAGTGTGAAGGGAGCGGGTCTACTGA